CTTGCATAATCATGAACTTCTCTAATAGAGCCTGTACTTTAATTGAGTGAAGGTGTAATGATAACATGTTTATTGTCCTCTCTCTCCTGCCCTCTAAGGCCCCTTGGGTATGATACATAACTTTATAGAGTTGTGTTAAATAAAAGTTTTGTACCTTCTCAAGTTAACCTCAAAAACTCAAATAAACTAACATTATTATCACATTATATAGAATATTTCTCATTTAGGCTTGGGAAAGTGTTTGATTTTACATGTAGGAACTAATTTCATCATAGGAGTTTTCTTTCAATGTAATAAAAGCTTCTGGTCTTGTTTGATATTTTTAGACACACAAGGGCCTTTTAGATTCAAATATAAATAAATTCTACAAATAGTGTAAGTAAATAAAAAAAAAAAAATAAATAAATAAATAAATAGGTAAAATGAAATGCAGATAATTTTAGCAGAGCTTCAGGATAAAATTGTCACAAAAAATATTTTAACTTGACAAGTTTATTGAAAATATGCACAGTTAATCCATTGAGTTATCTGTCTTATCAGAGGGTTGGTTAACCTTAAAATATGATTATGCAACTTAAATTTCCTGACCTTTTACAATTTTACTCGAGTAACTTAGTTTTGACAAATGAATAAATTATAGGGTTCCTAAATTGTTACAGTCAATGCTGGCATATTGAGACAGGGCTCTGGATGTGAATCTTTTGTTTTTTTTGGTTGGGAAGGAACATTGATCAATGGTCAAGCAGTTAGGGGGAAAAAGGCTATAATAAAACATTATGTAAATTTTTGGTCATTGATGGTTTCTGTTGTGTCTCTAAGTGGGAAAATAAAAATAAAAAGAATTGTAATTTAACTCAGGTAAAAATTGCTTTAGTTCAAATTTTAATTCACGGTTCTTAAACTCACAAAAGGTGATATATGTATGTTTGGGAAACTGGTTTTATTCATCATGAAATATAAAACATAAAAAACTGAGCATAAGGCAAGATTTACTATTAATCTGCTATGCAAGCAGATGCAAATCTTGGGGTTGAAAGGGGGGGGGGGGGGGTAGACATATACTGTTCTACAGACCTGAATTGAATAGAATCTGATCCATTTCCTGCAATGTTTTATATGTAGTTTTCAGAAATGAGGCAACAGGTTTGTTAAAGACAGCAATTCTACAAAAACTGCTGACACATATCATGCATATATTTAATGGGCATTTCTCCATTGAAAAATGTCAGTTCAAACCCAATTGCCAATTACATATATGTCATTGGTGTACACCCCCCCCCCTCCCCCCCAACTAAGCAGGTAGCATACATGTACTTTTATAATTATGTTTATATATTAATTTCAAAGGTTATTCAGATGCATCTTCAATGCATATATAGTTTACATCCATGTATCAGCTGGTGGGTACAACTGCAAATCTGAGGGAGTTAAAGATTCATTTTAGCAAAACTTCCCCAGCATTTTAGGGTATTAAATAAAGGATAGGTTGCCATTGCCTTAGCTCATACTTGGACAATTAATTTGTATGCTGGCCTTCATATAATTATGCATATTTACAACTTTAAAACAGATTAAGTCCATACCCCCCCCCCCCCAACCTAGTCTTAACCATATTTTTGCCTTGGGGTGAGGGATGGGGGTAACCCATTCTGAATTAATGTTACAGTTTCAGTATTCCTGAAGTAAGAAGTTTAAGGTGACAAGTTGCAGTTTCTGAGAGAGCATCAGCTGGGCAAGGGTCTGGAATATAGAATTTAGTCCTATAGGTACTTCATGTCTGGAGCAGTACATATACATTTACAAATACTTTGGAAACATTTCATAGTCCTCCATTGTGTCTCTTGGGTTGGAAGGTAATTAGTATATGCTTTAATCAATTTTAAATAGAGAGGCTTTAGCAGAGCTTGTTTTCAGAAATAAGTTTAATGACCTCATTCCTTTAGAACTTTAGCTACTGTTGAGCAAAAATGGTTTTCCAGATTAGGTAATAAAGATAGCAGGGAATAGGTATCCCTTAATCTGTTCTGCAATTTACAAAGTGGGAATGTGATAACACTTATAACATTTTGTGACTGCAACATTGTCAACAATGCAGGAACTGCAGCCATATGCAGATGGGAAAAAGGGGAGGGGGGGGGTGGGGGGGGGTTAAAGAGGATTTGTGCTTGTTTATTTCTTGTTTGCAATCTCAGCTGGAAAGTAGTTTAGAACTTTCCAAATTACTTTAATTAAAAAAAAAAAATAAATAAATAATGAATAAATTAAATAAGTGAATAAGTGAATAAACAAATAAATAAAAATACAAGAATAGGGTAAGTGGGGATTAGAGATTGATATTATTTACATATTTTCTTACACCAGGCTAGTTTAGTTCTTATTCATGCCTCAGTAAAAATAACCTGTTGTTACTAAAAATATCAGGGTAATAAAAAGACCCAAAGCAGAATAAACAAAAACTTGTACTAGATTCCAGGGCGGGGGTGGGGTGTTTTCAGGCACACTTAATTTGTAGGGAAACTAGATCATTTATCTTAATACAGCAGGGATGGCTGATAAAGAATTGATTTAATCTTGTATTGATGATACATTGAGTAGTGGAGACAATGAGAAAGTGGTATTCACAGTGGGTGGGGTGCTGAGGGTTTTGAGTAGGCTAGGGGTCCACGGTGGGTGGTTAAATTGAAGCTGCCTACCCCCACCAGGTGGCGGTGGGCACCTGCGGTGCCCATGTGGCGAAATCGTCACCTTCAATTTAACCATTGAACTATTTATATTCTTGACTTGTTGTGGTTGATGTTGATATATGTGATGGTTGATGTTGATATATGTGATGTTGACTTTGAAAATTATATCTCATATTGAGTAAATCTAAAGCAAAATTATGTAATATAATTGATATAATTAATTATAATTAATATAATTAAAGATAATTTGTGTTGAAATGTGTCCGTAGCACGATTGAGGTCAACCCAGCGTGCTACTTTTCCCGTCAGGGAGGGCACAACTTAATTGTTGATGTTGGGGGATGTGCCAGTTTGCCGGCTGCCCCACTGTTGTGTAGACCACTGTGGACAATACCTGCCAACTCGAATAAAACATATAAAATAAATAAGGCATTTGTTTTAAATATATTAAGGTCTTTGATAATACCGCATATTTGAGCTCGTCTCACAATATGCATCGTTATCAAAGCTCTACCCTATTATTAATGTCATCATTCGCCTCTTATTTTGCGAGAAACTGATGATTGAGTAAAGTCGGAATTTTGTTATCCACCCATACAGTGTCGGTACTTAGTCACTATGTTTCCGGGTTATCTCCCCTTTTCTATGCATCAATGAAAGTGAAAGGTGGGTGATGAAAGTTATCTGATTTAATTTTTGTATTTTGAAATACCCTCCCACCTCAACCCTTGAGCTAGGTGTTTAAGTATACCCTTTCTCCTTTCGTACATCTACATAGTTTTACATGATTGGGCTATACCTATATTTATTGACAGTTATGGAAATGTTATTGAGATTCTTTTCTGCTTTGGGTTTTTTGTTTTTGTCTTTTTAGAAATTAGCGGTGCCGTTGAAGGAGACCAACGATGTTGATCAGGATTGCCTGTTATTTCCGTTTAGGACCTTTTGAATGATTTTGGGCCAAATACAGTATCCTTCCGAGGAGTTCGGGGAAAAACCATACTTCACAGTGGTCAGATTGGCGAAATCGTCACCTTCAATTTAACCATTGAACTATTTATATTCTTGACTTGTTGTGGTTGATGTTGATATATGTGATGGTTGATGTTGATATATGTGATGTTGACTTTGAAAATTATATCTCATATTGAGTAAATCTAAAGCAAAATTATGTAATATAATTGATATAATTAATTATAATTAATATAATTAAAGATAATTTGTGTTGAAATGTGTCCGTAGCACGATTGAGGTCAACCCAGCGTGCTACTTTTCCCGTCAGGGAGGGCACAACTTAATTGTTGATGTTGGGGGATGTGCCAGTTTGCCGGCTGCCCCACTGTTGTGTAGACCACTGTGGACAATACCTGCCAACTCGAATAAAACATATAAAATAAATAAGGCATTTGTTTTAAATATATTAAGGTCTTTGATAATTAAGCTGCATTTGTCGTTGATAACTTCGTAAATAGTGTGCAACTTCTCATCTCTCTATCACTGAATTGTCGCCTATGACGTCAGAGCAGTATTTCGCCAAAATCCGACTGAAATATGCATATTGCCGTATTTGAATTTCAGCTCTCAATATCTCTTAAAATATGCGTTCAACAACGTTTATTGTATTCAGAATTTTAATAAACAAGGTTGTAGATAATATTTTTCATAAAATTAAGATTTTTGAAAAAATCATGCGAGAAGTCCTTTAAAGGATAAAATTTTGCAAAACTGGGTCAAACTCCCAAGGTCAAGGTCAAAAGGTCAAATCTGATGGTACCTAAGAAAAGGTCTTGTCACAAGCAATACACATGTGAAATATGAAAGTCATAGCTCTTACCAATCAAAAGTTATGAGCAAGGTTAATGTTTTTCCGGACAAACATACAGCTAGACAGACAGACAGACGGACAGGGCAAAAACTATATCCCCCCAAATCTTCGATTTTGGGGGCACAATTACTTAAACTAGGTTAAAACATCATTAAAACATTGATTTGAAATTGTCAGGCGGTTCTTGCAAAAAGTTGTACCGACTTATATTCAGGTCAATGGCAAATCCTTCCAAAATAACCTCAAATATTACAACCTACTTATAGGCGAGTATATACAGTAGCTATTTTTACCTGATGAGCGAGTTCATGAGTGGCTATTTTTACCTGATGAGCGAGTTCACAAGTGGCTATTTTTACCTGATGAGCGAGTTCATGAGTGACTATATTTACCTGATGAGCCAGTTCATGTGTGGCTATATTTACCTAATGAGCGAGTTCACGAGTGGCTATTTTTACCTGATGAGCCAGTTCATGAGTGGTTTTTTTTACCTGATGAGCGAGTTCATGAGTGATTACAGTGGTTACTCTCTGTCTATTTCCCTCTGAGGACACTCCTGGTTTAAACAACATGGCTGTCTCTCTGTATGTAATTAAGCCCCAGTTCTCCATGGCCCCAGCAGAGAAGTCTGGGATAGCAATCATGTCTAAAACATAAGTTTACTGAAGAAAATCAGCATGACCAGCAAAAAAAACTTTTGCTTGAGCTTTTTCAACAATTAATGATTATGGTAAAGTCGCGTGTATTTTCATTTTATTTAGACCATTGAATTTATTACCTAGTAAAACCAATAAAAAAGTTCACATTTTGAAAGTCTTAAGTTTGTGTTATTGTTCAGTTTTCATGTAGATTTACATCGTAAATTTAAAAATAAAAATTGTTCTTTGTGACAGCTCCGAGCTTCAATGTTTTTCAGTACCGCGATATAATGAAACTCTCCACAGGTAAATAAGAGTTCCTGTTTTAAAAATAGACCACAAATTAAACGAGGCAAGCTTGGGAAATAATTAGTCATGAAAAAATTAGGCCATTGTTAGGTTTATGAATATCATTTGATGAAAAGTTAAAGTAAAAATTTGGAATATCCTTTTTTACGCAAAAAAATAAGTACCGCAATATAATGAGATACCAGTATATAAGCGATGGTAGTTCAAAATGGCGGAATACGCAATGGAAATAAAACAAATCAAAGATCGTTTTTCATCATGATTTTAATTATGAAACAATTATCTTTTTTTCAACAGGTAGGGTATATGTATATGACTACAACAGGTAGGGCTGACGCGTATGACTCTGAAATTAGAGTAATAGTAATAAACTTTGACGTAAGTGGTTACAAAGAGTAGGCCTAATCAATTCAAACGGATCGGGAAAATGGTCCTCGTGACCTGGAAAAAAGGGGATTGTATTCTGTTCCGATGTATTAAGCGCATCCCTAATTTTAAACAATTTTCTGAAGAAAAAAAGTGCGGCCAATACAAGCGACTTTACGGTAACAATCATGGGTACAGGCCACAACTTTTAGTACAAACATGACTAGTGGAACTGAGGAACTTTATATTATTTACTAAATTCTTATACAGAACTTTTGTTTGAAAAAAAAAATGAAAGCTCAATTTAATCATAGGACAAGAATTGACATTTTCCACACAAGTATATTCCATGAAGTTCAAGTTAAAGTTATATATGGCGTATTATTAATAAGTTCAGACTAAATAAAATTAAAAAGATCCTTCTATTTGTTTTACTACTTCAAAAAAAATAGGACTTTCCTGTAAATTACACAATTTAAATCAATCCCGTTTCAAAGATATTAGAAATTTAAAACAATAACCAATTTAATTCCTGACTCCGCATTTAAATATCAGACACATTTTAAACTCAATTTAACTACAGAAACGTGAGGTTACTAGTCTCCTAGTAGTGAAACCGGAGGGGACTATAGGTTTCCCCTGATTCTGTCCGTCTGTCTGTCTGTCTGTTTGTCCCTCTGTCTGTCTGTCAGTCTGTCCCACTTGGTTTTCCGCATTTTTTTTCTAAACGCTTGCAGATATTGAGCTGATTTTTGGTATGTGAGTGCATCTTAACGACTTACAGATCAAGTTTGCATTTCGTTCTGCTTCAATGATTTTTGACGGAATAACGACCTTTTCAAGTTTTCAGGGTTTTCCGCATTTTTTCCTAAACGTTTGCAGATATAGAGCTGATTTTTGGCATGTGACTTTACTTTGATGAGTTATAGATCAAGTTCGCATATCGTTCTGCTTCCTTTTTTTTTTTGATGGAATTATGGCATTTTCAATTTTTCACGGGAACCAGATTACACTTGCAGGTAGGGGACTAGTATTGCTAATGCAATACTCTCAGAATGCTTGTTCAAGGTCAAAATCGGTGAAAATTTTAATTTGAACTTAAGTAACAAATATCATGTTAATCTACGCTCTATCTGGTATTTGTCTTTTTTGGCTGAATTACGCCATATATAGCTTTAAGTATTATGTAACAAAGCATATCCCTCACGGGAATATTTGATTCACATTTTTTTTTTTACTTTAGAAAGTTAATGTACTTTGTAAAGAACAACTGACCCTTTATGCTTTAAAAAAAAATAGAAAAGAAAAAAAAACATAATAACTCTTGATAAAAGAAACCTCAAAGAAATACCTTGTTTTTTCAGTGGGAAGGGGATGTCGAAGTACTCTTCATAATAAGTGATGGTTTTGTTTCCAACTTCCAGACCAAACTTGGTATCATTGACGGCCTCGGGCAGAGACCAGGCACTGTACTGTAAGAGCAAATTTAGGAATCACTGTCTAGTTTTCTGGGTATGCCAGGGCATTCACGATAGTTGGAAAAGTGGGAGAATTTGCATAATAGGCTATTAAAGCCCAATTATACAAAATTATCCCTTGTTTCCAGCTGTTGTTCATGTCTCTGCCATACTCTATAGATTAGATACTGATTCCTTATATTTACATTTATATGTAAAATAGAAATGTAAATACAAATGAAAAATCTGTCTAATAGAATTGAAATACATGAGGCATTCTATGTTTGTTTCCATTGTCTCCACCCTCTGACATTAGACAAAATGACAGCCGGGGAAATTGACAAGCATATTAGGCACTTGACCTTTCACTTGGCAACATAGTATAATTTATCTGAAATGGATACCACCAGTTTCATAAAAATTGGTCGGATTAGACAGAACATGGAGTGCAGGAAAAATGCAGAAAAATATTTGAAATTCCGCTGTTTTATCTAAAAGTACAATCATACATTAATTGGTAAAATATAAATGATCAAATCTTTCAATATTCTCTCTGTAGTCTCATTGTGACGTCACTTGAGTATGAGTTTCTCTGTGCATATTTCTACATGTGAGTATACATGAAAATGGCTTTCTAATCAATTCCATGGTGGGTTAAGTAGGAAAAAAGCCGTCCAATATGAATAAAAACTGTAATATTACAATTTTTCATAACAAAGTGTAAGTAAGTGTTATCCCCCCCCCCCCCCCTTGTAAAAATAAATCTAATGTTTGATTAAATCTGCATCTAACTCACAGCAGGGACAATACTATCACTTACTATGTGAATAAGAAGTAGATACCTCAGGAGTATCATCTTATCTAAACCTTTAGATTGGCTTTATACAAGATTATCAGCTGGATAATCATTAGTTCATGAGATACACTATGAAAGAACCATGATGGTCGGAGCAAAACTAGGAAGGATGGAGATATAAGTCTAGTATCAGGTCACTAGGTCAACTTCAAACTACACAGAAAAATTACTGCCAATCCCAAAAAAATTTCTCCTTGGAAGATATTGAGATTCAAGTTGAAGTTTAAACTACCTGAGGATGCTTCCATATCAATATAACAAATGGCTTTGCTGTTCTTGAGCAGAGGATTTTTAAAGATTTCTTACTATACATTCCCTTGTAAAAATTTGATACCCAATTGTGGCACTCCCTACTCCTAGGGGTAATGATTTGAACAAACTTTAATCTACACTACCCAAGGATGCATCCATATCAATATGACTAAACATGGCTTTGCTGTTCTTGAGACAAAGATTTTTCCATTTATATTCCTATGTAAAACTCTGATCCTCCATTTTGACCCAACGCTACCCCCGGGGGTTATGATTTGAACAAACTTGAATCTACAATACCTGAGAATGCTTCCATATCAATATGACTAAACATGGCTTTGCTGTTCTTGAGAAGAAGATTTTTAAAGTTTTTTTCCTATATATTCCTTTGTAAAACTTAGATTCCCCCCTTTTGGCCCCACCCTACAACCAGGGGTCATGATTTGAGCAAATTTTAATCTATACTACCTGAGGATGCTTACATATCAATATGACAATTCCTGGCTTTGCTATGCTTGAGAAGAAGATTTTTGAAGATTTTTTCCTATATATTTATGTATACAACTTTGATCCCCCATTGTGATCCCACCCTTCCCCCAGGGGTCATGATTTGAACAAACTTGAATCTACACTATCTGAGGATGCTTCCATATCAATATGACCAATCATGGCTTTGCTGTTCTTGAGAAGAAGATTTTTAAAGATTTTTTTCTATATATTCCTATGTAAAACTTTGATCCCCCATTGTGGCCCAACCCTACCCCCAGGGGTCATGATTTGAACAAATTTTAATCTACACTATATAACAAAGGTTTCCTATAAGTTTCAACTTTTTGGGGCCAGTGGTTCTTGAGAAGAAGGTTTTTCAAAATATGCCACCAAATTTTCACTATTTCTGAATTATCTCCCCTTGAATGAGGGCGTGGCCCTTCCTTTGAACAAACTTGAATCCCCTCCACCCAAGGATGCTTTGTGGCAAGTTTGGTTGAAATTGGCCCAGTGGTTCTGGAGAAAATGTGAAAAGTTTACAGATGGACGGACAGCTAGACAGACAGACAGACTACAGACAAAATGTGATCAGAAAAGCTCACTTGAGCTTTAAGCTCAGGTGAGCTAAAACTTGTAATATAAAATTTTATATTACAGAAAACTGTAATATTACAGTTTTTCGTAATGGACTGGAATGTTCATGACTCATTACAAGATTTGTATTATAACCTCAACTGCTGGTAGTCCACATCATTTTGTCACTTGAACAGTTTCCAACATTAATACCCTTGCCAATGGATGCCTGATTGCAGAAAATGTTCTTATATTTACATCCACTGAATATTTTCTCCTTTATTTCTAAAGTAAACCATTGCCGTTTATCAGTTCATTAACAACACAAGGCATATCACTTGTACAGATTTCCTGATCAGTGGCTGTTCCATATCAATGAAACATACTACGATGAACATATCAATTATACAATAATTAATCTTTTTAATCCTTCTTTAAATGATTATTTATACAGATATAAATATAAACAATAAAATGTCTCTCTTTGGTTGTTAGTACGTGGGTTATGTATTTTTTCTGCAACAGCTGTGACATTAATTCCCATACTAACAACCAAAGAAAGCATTTTATTGTTTAAAAAAATATACTTTTGGTGATATCTCTGTTTATCATAAATATGTGTTTGTGTACATGATGTTAAGTGCATCAAGTGCAAAAACTTACTATAATTCCATTTTTGGTGGTGGTAGTAGTTTTCTCAAACTGACAAACAATAAACGCCAACAAATATGTGGACATCCGGGGACTAACATTATATATATCTGCCACAAAGTTATTTCCCCTGCAAGAAACATTTTATTATCAGTTCTAACCAGCACAAACTTTTCAAGAAATTTAATGATGAATAATACACATTTAATGTAGAAACATCAAGAATTAAAATAACAATTGAGAAATTAACCCATCCTGATGCTAATACTGACGCTGGGAGTATAGCATAAGCTCATCTCGACTTTGTCGAGGTGAGCTTAAACGCACAATGCTATTTAGCATTTAACAGATTTCAGCCTATTTTATGTTCATTAATCTTTTCAAATTTTGTTTAAAATAAATATCTCTGTTTAATTACTTGTCCTCATAATCTATGATCTCCATGTTGGATAAGGATATAAAATCCTTTCGTCGCACCAGAGTGACATTGAACATGGCCTTCATATCTGGCTCGTCAAAACAAGGAAACGATTTCCTGGCATCAACAGGTTCCATCTGAGTAGTGGCCAAGAACCTGAAAATAAGAAGCAACTCGAAACTAAGCAATGTATTCAGAATCAAAAAATAACATTGAAAGTGACCATCCCTAAATGCACTGAATGTGACATCTTACTTAGTTTGATTATTGCTGGTGTAGGTGCTATAGTAGAGACCAGCCAAATCATCCTTGAGGGGACCAGTAAACTTCAAGCTCAACTCATATTGACGTCCAGGTATCAGCTCGGTATTCAAGTTAAAGATTGAGAACATGAGCTCCTCCTCGCGAGTCAACGAGCTGAACAAGTTACCTCCCCCTCCTATAGACTTGACCTCAATGGAATTCTCCTCAATTGTGATCTTACTACTGTGTAATGTAATATTCTTTGTTTTTTCTGTGACATTCACAAGGATGGTCAGATTTCCAGAGAAAGTGAAGTTTTTGGGATTTGGTTGGTAGAGATCTGGGAAGAGTTCCAGGGTGTACAATTCCGGTAACACGGAGCGAGGGAGACGGACATTCCTGTTAATCTGTTTTGTTGGTGCCGTCCTGTCCAGCCATTTCTGTATAATAGGGACATTCTTTTTCATCCATTCTACATTTGCCTGAACTTTTTCGATGGCCTGCTCTCCTGCCCTGGTGGCTGACCCCAGGTCCTTATCCTTTATGAAGTCTTTGAGCTGACACAAAGAAATATTGTCAGATTATTCATCTCTGTGAGAAATGGCTGTGCCCTTGAACCAAATAATTAGCCAATTAAAATAAGTATCCTATAAATTGAAAGTATAAAATTGACAAATTTTCATATGTTATGCAGCTTCACAGAATAATTTAATTTGTTCACTGAAATTTAAAATATTTTTATTGACCCAAGGGTCAACAATTTTTTTTTTTTTTTTAAAAATCCATTTTATACTTGTAGACAGTACCTGTTGCAGTTCTAGGTCAGTATTAAATGACTCTGTGACTCCTGATATAAGACGGGCAAAGGAGAAGGATCCCCCACCATAGCTAGAAAACCAACAGGCTTATCATGCAAACACACATCTTGACATCAACATTAAAAAAGCTTCGCCATGCACTTTAACCAAAATGTGTAAAAAATTAATTAAATTCCTTGGATTCATGCAGATTAATAATACTGTACGGCCAAAAAAAAAAAAAAATAAGATTTTAGTTTCTTTGGCACTGCTGAATGCTACTGCTTTGAACAATTTTCCCCCATCATACTGAAAAAGAGGAATAACTCTTTTTTTTCACCTTTTCATTATTTGGCTTGCTTTATAATAAAGATACCCTGTCTGCTACATTAGGACATATTTGGTCCCAGAAACTTAAAAATTTTTTTTTTTGGCCTAAGTGAACAGAAAAGCATTTAACATACTTCAACAATGTTCAATTATACAACATGCATTTCATTAGACAACAACATTTCCAAGTAGAGAGTACTTCAGGTAGAATGACTCTGCATACTCAAATGGAATTTTTCGTGTCATTACAACATGGAGACAAAAATGATACTCAAGAAAATAAAGCATATAATAAAGGACAAACTTTCAGCACAATTCAAAAAGAAAGAGTAACATATCAATTAAGAGTTGTCTTTTCTTAATAGAAGGTCATTCTTCCTTAAAATAAAATCAGTAATGATAAATACATCTTCAAGCTGTTCACAACAAAACTCAATATGAACATAATCAACAGTACTACAGGGCTTACTCTTTCCTGAGTCGGTCCCAGTTCTGTCTCACGAAATTCCACACCAGGTCTTTGCCGATCGTATTCCGTGAGATGTACGTAATGACGTTGGTGGCGTCCTGTTTGCGTACCACATTTGTGTCCAGAGCATAGTCCAGATACCTGCAAGTCAAAGAGGGTATAGAGATAGTCCTGTCTGATGCTTAAGGTTTGTCTGCAGCTAATTACAAGTAAATCTCACCCTTTGCTTCATTCCAAAATAAGTTGGGTTTTTTTTTACTGGCTAAGAAGTGTACCTGCCCTTCAGTTTTTAAAGTATACATAATTTCCATTTCACTTTCGACGAAGGCTTTCATTGTAAATTGTTAATTCAAATATATTTCCATTTCTATTTGTTTTCTCTGTGATATCTCTTTGAAATTTAGTTGAATTGATTTCTTGATCATTCTACCAGAATGTAAATTTCGCCAAGCGAAAGGTCAGGAGCTAAGAAGGTCTAATATGCATGTATTTCTTGTGCGGCTGTCTTTGTGTTTGACGTCACTGGGCAGGGACTATTGAAATTGACTTGAGGCCTCGTGTAATTAAAAAATCTATAAGTCTACAATTTTTAAATCTAAATTTACCATTTTATTTCACTATGAAATGGAAATATAAGGAATTACTGTCTAGTTAGTAGAGTATGCCTGGGACATCTACGATAGTTGAAAACATGGGATAATTTATCCCACGTTTCCAACTATCGTTGATGCCCTGACACACTCTACTAACTAGACAGTGATTCATTAAACAATTCAGAGACATTAAATTCAAGATTAACAATGAATCCATGAAATAAATTCAATTTTACTCATTGAACCAACTTACCTTGCAAACCAGAAAAAATATGATAATACAAAACAACACATAGTTACATGTATTTACATCTTATAATGAATGAAATCTCTAACAATTGTTTTTTCTGACAATTGCACTTTGTATTTACATGAATGTACATTTTTTACCTGCTCAGCAGCCATGTTTGTTTTGAGCAGGCCATGGCATACAGAAGACGACTGCTCTCGGAGGCTAGTGTGGAGTCCTTGTACTGCTGAAGGACAAAGTCCCACTCTGTCTCTCCCCCCTCGGCCACTCCCGTACAGTAAACCATGGTCTTCAGATTTGGATCCACACTGCAAACAAATGAAATCATTATTTTACAGCAATTACATAGTTTCTGCATTGAAAGCAATGAAATACCAGCATTTTGACTGGAAAATACATACATGTATCTATTTTCAAACCTTCAGAAAATGTTAGGGCTGTCACGAGTACCCGAAATAACCGAGAACCGCGGTCCAAGTTGTTCGGTTCGGTTCCGGTTCCATTTTTCCGGATTTCGGTTCGGGTCTGGTTTATATATTAGAGTCTGTTCAATACAAAAAATGGCGTCGAAATCAAAGGAATGATGACGATAACAGTGATAAATAAACGTCACATCTGAAATTTACTTCATTCCATGACAAAACATTTGTCACGGAAGTGTTAGATAATTATCAAAACGAGCAGGAATGGTCAGGTTGTGACTAATAGTAGGCCAAGTCACCGATGTCTAGACGTTTTCAATGTAAATGTAATGTAACAAATAAAGATTTTTCAAGTTAAATTCATGAAATTAAGGTTTAAAATAGATGTAAATACCCGACCCGAAAAACCCGAAACCGAACCGAAAATTTACAAACCCGACCCGACCCGAAAAATTTTGGAACCGTGACAGCCCTAGAAAATGTCAACTTAGAACATATAAAATGATCATCTCATTAAAATAAATTTATTTCATTTTGATTGACCAAATTACATGAATTATAAAGCATATTAAATTTGTCTCAGGTCATCATATCCAACAAAACTTTAGTCTGCTGCAATTAACAAAAATTCCAAAATTATTCATCATCAATATAAAAAAAAGATATAGATGTGGGAAGAGATCAAACTGTAAGATCTTCCCTGAAAAAGTCAGAACACTAAAAGGTTCAAATATGGATTAGACAGGGAACTTACAGGTTCACCGTTGGATTGGACCGTCAGAATACTTACAGGTTTACTGTAGAATGGACAGAATACTTACAGGTTTACTGTTGGATTGGATAGTCAGAATACTTACAGGTTTACTGTTGGATTGGATAGTCAGAATACTTACAGGTTTACCGTTGGATTGGACCATTAGAATACTTCAAGGTTTACCGTTGGATTGGACACTCAGAATACTTACAAGTTTACTGTTGGATTGGACAGTCAGAATACTTACAGGTTTACTGTTGGATTGGAACGTTAGAATACTTACAGGTTTACAGTTGGATTGGACATCCACTTGTCAAAGATCCCCTTCACCTGTGCCCTACATCCGGGGACATCATAGGTACAGGCCAAGTCTGCCACATCTGATCGTGTATAGCTGTAACAACAGGTAAATCATCAGTGAGCTGATATATAATGGCTTAAAAATACAAATCTTCTTCTTTGTTATCAATGAAATCATTTATTTTTGTTGGGTTTAATATTCGTTGTTTATATGAAGGGACCCACAAATTCCTATCCTCCACAAAATTACAGCATATAATGACTTTACACTTCAATCATGAAATCAAAGCCCCACGAATGAAAATTTTTCCTCTTACCAAGAACATTTTGATCCCAAGAAATTAAGTCATTTTTCGGTAGCTTACTGTTACAGTATTAACTTTTTCTCATTTTCCTATAAATTCCACCTATTAATTTAAATAATTTTCTTTGCACCACATTTCTTTTTGTTCTACATTTGTATATCTATTCATGAATTAATGAATTTTGTCATAAAAATTGAAGGATTGAGTAAATGTACATAAAAAGTGTGAATACAAAATATGTATCCTCTTTTTTGGCACAAAAAAACTCACATTTCTAGATGGTTTGAATTAGAGTTGTCCAGTCCAAGTTTTCCAAATGGTTTCTTCAATAGAGATGCCATGAAATTCTACAAGATTTCAAAATGAAAACTGCATGAAAATGTAAACTATGCATTGTAATATGTGTATTTCTGATTATTTATGCAATTCAGAAGATTGTGATCAAGTTGTATTCAAGTGATCGAGCTGTCTTAACTGGGTAAAAATGTTTGAACAAATTGACATACTTCTTTATTGTTGGGAAAACAAAAACTTTTGTCTCGATCTCCATATACTTTACATGTAAGCAAAACTAAAGTAAATCAACATCTTTACAAAATGCTCCACTAAATAAACTCTCACACTAGTAAACATGGTAAATATTGCAAATACTCTAATGCAAATAAAAGATGACTTAATATTGAAAATTCTCACGCTGCAATATACATGTACTTGATACCTGATCAGTATGATCAGTAATATTGCACACCTCTGTCATATATTTCACTCCAATATCCTTATACAAGTGATGTTTATGTTTGCACAAACATTTGCTGGAAAACTTTGAGGTCAAATTTTCACCCAAATACTGTTTTCCGTTAAGTCTTTTTGGCCCATTTGACTGAATTTTCTACCATACCTTGTACTCCCCATACAGGGAGGTGCGAACCAACATTTTACGGACATATGACAGCTCCTTTTCAGCTGCGGTCCAGGGGACATAATCCATTTCAGCACCCAGGTACTCAATTGTCTGAAGCGCTATTTCCATTGGCAGCTCTCCAGCCCTGTGTTAATTAAAATGAAATTGAAATAGTAAAAAATATTTTTAACTTTTATACTTTGTACAAAGTTTATGCACATAACAATAACTCCATATAGATTCAGGTAAGTATAATTAAAGGAAAATACAACAAAAAGCCTTTTTTTTTTGAAAACTTTTCTAATACAACGCACATTTTCATACACTTACTTTGCAAGGGCCCAAGCATCGTTGATCAGTTGAGCTCGGTTAGTTGTATAAATTACCTATTGCAAAATAATAATAAATGAAAAAAAAAAATTAATTAAATAAAAAAACATAATATAAGGTGATGCAGCAGTATCTCTGTTGCCTACAACTTAGTGCTATAAAACATGGGCAATATATACAGTTTAATAAAATGGGATTCAACATTTGTAAAAGTGACCAATATGCTGATACTCCAAGCAAGCGAGTAATGGATGTATTCTTCATACTACAGGAATGTTTGGAACTTTCTCTGAATAGCAGTGATTTTCATACAGAAAGTTGTGTCCTAGAATATTGATTTTTTGTACCTCATGATCTGCCTTCAGTTGACCAATCAATTTATTCCAATTGTCGAGGTCATAGTTCATCCTGTAATATCCAATCTCCTGTACATTTCCCAGAATCCAGTCTGCTGCTGGGATGTTCGTTGAAATATCTTTAAAATAAAATACATTTTCATACGATCAATGTCTACTGATTTTAAAATATGTGAGAATAATGCATAATAAAATACTGCATAATAGAATAAGTAAATGATACAACTTGCCCAATCTGAATAGCTTTGTACAGATAGCACAGATAATATATATATTTTTAAAAAATTCTAGCTTGTAAATAAAGAGTGCTCAGATACTAGGATTTAAATATTCTTAAAGAGGGGGCTAATAAACAATATGTGCTACACTATTAAACAAGTACACACAATAGAACATGTTTATTTGAAAGTGCAGAAAAATTTGGATTCATTATAAATGTAATTTGCTATATCTCTTAAGCTGACAATAAATTTCCATGGGGAAATGAAATTCACTTCACAGTATGCATGAATTCAATGTGTGTCCGCTGTAACCCTGTTTTACTGTTGGTAAAAAACTTTTTTAGTTCAGATTTGAACCGTTTATCTGATATTACTCTGACATTGAATCTTGACCCTAAACTTCACAAAAAATGACAATTCTCTCTTGTCAAATTTATAAAACAAAAGTCAAAACTCTGGCTACTGATCTTCACAAAAAATGACAATTATCTCTTGTCAAATTTATAAAATGAAAGTCAAAACTCTGGCTACTGATCTTCACAAAAAATAACAATTATCTCTTGTCAAATTTATAAAACAAAAGTCAAAACTCTGGCTACCAAAGTTATGGACACAGAAAAACGGACATCAAGACAAACATACGAGTGTAAATCAAGATCTTATGAAGTCTTTTTTTTTTTACAGATAGTGCAGGCAAAAAACATACCTTTGGTAGCATCTTTGACCCAAACAATGTCATTGTAAGATTGATTAAATTTCTTATCAGCCTCCGTAGTGTATGTGAAAGGAATCATCCATTTGTATCTAAAGCAAATCAGCAACTCATTATCACTGTATAGCAACCATATTAAAGTTACTCTATTAACATATTCATTCATTTCATTTTTTTATTTTTCGAATAATGATTCTGGTTTAAATGTCCAAAATCATCAATGTTTATAAAAAAGGGGACGCTAACCCAAATTTTGATTTGTATTTCAGGGGATCTTTTGCCATGGGGTTTGCAAGGAAGCGTTTCTGAGTCACAAGGAGGTGGCCATTGTCTTGTCTGGACAGTTTGACCACTGGGTAGTTCATCTGTAGTGTCCAGGTATCCATGATAGCCTTCACATCAAGTTGGTGACCATTTTGATTTGCCAGCTGATAAAATATAGTAAGAAATTTTAAACAGTACTTTTAAAATAATATAATGCCTATTAAATTTAAATTTAATGACAGTGGATTTTATTTTTTCCTTTGAAAGCAAATGGGAAATCTTTACGATTGTCTAAAAAAAAGCTTTTGCATAGATACAAAAAAAAACCTAAAAGCAATTTAAGCTTTTTTATTTTAGAAGATACATCATCAAATATCTTCCTTCAAAATGTTGCAGTTGTTTTTACATACAGTTACTGAACTCTAACCTTTGTCATGAACTCTAACCTTTGTCATGGAGTTCCACAGATCATCATGGAAAGAGTTGCCATATTTTCTGCTATTTAGATAATCCTGATAAAACAAGGTAGATAATAAACACATAAATATCCTTATAAAAGACATTCCAATGAATTGTCTGTGATGCTGTGATACCTAACTACTGTAGATCACCAAATTTTCGCGACACCTTATTTTCGCGAGGTGATCATTTGGTATTTATAAGCGAAACATAATTTTCACAAATGCCGAATGCTGTTCAATATATTTTTTAGTACTAAAGATATACGCGAGTCAAAATAAAATTTTCGCAAGCAGGCAGTCTCACCTAATTACGCGAAAATATAGTTCTTGTGAATAAAAATTGATTTACAGTATTGCAATACCATCATTTATGCATATGAAGTACACTGTATGTAAAAATTTTACCTTATTTACGTTCCTACTAAAATAAGAACTCTCGGTACAGTAAAAACCCAAATGACATGACAAGTCCATGATAATTAATAGGTCTACTCTGATAAAACATATTAAATGTTACAATTACAAACTTATAATGATCTTAGAATTATTAGTCCAGTACCGTTAATCCTGCTCTGAATGTCTCCTCTCCTAAGAAAAACCTCATCATACGAATCACACTGCCACCCTGATAATCGGAGATACAAATGCTTTAAATTAAAGCTTTATCAAATTTGCAGGCAAAACACAAAGATCCATTGAATAAATAACTCGCTGACATTTTACACTTTGATCATTTTTCAACATCATTATCTATTAACCATTAATTATGTACTGTATCTAGCATCGTCGGAAACCCACGGCCGATTACGCTTCGTTCCTCTCTCCATCACCCGGTGATAGAGGAACGAAGCGTAATCAGCTATGGGTGTCCGACGAAGTACATCTAGCAACTTTTTTGAATTACTATTACTAATCTGAAGTCAACTAATGCAGTTCTTAACCATATTTTCTCTTAACTGGCACTTGATATGTTTGTTCCATCACGATACGTACCTTAGAGTAGGAAATTTTGTCAAATATTTCATTAATCTGATCGGGATTGGCGACGGGTACATAGATCGGGTGTGACGTTACCAGACCATCATAGTCAAAGGCCACCTGGAGATCTTCTGTCACAAACTGATCAAACTGAAAAACAAAGAGTCATGCCTCATTCCTATGTACATTTTACCGAATAACCTTTCCAGTCAAGTACAAAACGTAGGAAATTTACACTTGTACAATCTTCATTTTAAAGCAAATAAAACTGAAAAAAAAATATTATTAAACAGATAAATACATTATGGACCTCAATAAGTATGAGAGAATCTCAAGTTACCATTTTCCATTCTGGGAATTTATGGTCCGCTCCAAGGTATTCCACAAAGGTGGCAAATCCTTCATTGAGCCAGAGATCATCCCACCATCCCATAGTGACTAAATCTCCAAACCACTGAAAGAGTGTAATAATGGAATTTGTCAAGACTATCCAAAACTAGCTAGTGATTGCATGTAACTCTTTAACCAAAAAGTTAACAAAGACTCATATCAATTCAATGAGACTAGACAGGACAAGATTTTGCACAGTATTACATGTACTCTGATAACAAAGGTAAAAACAACTTTTAAATATTGTATGAAGAAATACTCAGAATTTTAAAGATTTTTACCCTCAACCCCAAGCCATCCAACCTCAACAAAAAAACTCAAAGGTAAATGTCACATTTTCAGCTGATTACTAGACCTCCCATACCTGATGTCCGAGTTCGTGGGTGATAACCACGGTGACCCTTTGTTTGTTACTCTCGGAGGACATGACTGGGTCATACAACATGGCTGTCTCTCTGTATGTAATCAACCCCCAATTCTCCATGGCTCCAGCGGCGAAGTCAGGAATAGCGATCATGTCTGTAATTGGAAAGGTGGAGGTTAGACAGGGGCTTGAACCATGAAACTCTAAACTGTCTACATGCTACAGCCATTGTCATAATTTGGAGATATACAAAATTTTGTCAAACAAAGTCGCATAAATTCTGCATAATTATTCAATCTGTTTAACAATACTGTGCCCATTATAAACTGGTGTATCACTAAGGTTTTGGAAAAAAATCAGACCTACCTTGTTTTTTCAGTGGGAAGGAAATGTTAAAGTACTCTTCATAGAATGTAATGGTATCCACCCCAACATCTAAAGCAAACTCGGCTTGATGGATAGCTTCAGGTCGGGACCAGGCTCCATACTACAACAGCAAAGAAAAGAATTCACTCTTCTGTAGGAACTTACAAATAATGGCATTCTTTGTTAGCAAAACAGGGTTACTTTCATCCTGTGTTTTTTTTGCTCCATCACACTTACAAATCACTTTGCCTGTTTAAAATTGGCCCATCCCTGTATATAAACAAGGAAAGTCTGGAATTGTAACAGTTCCTGAATCTCAACCTTTAACTACTGTAAAAGTGGTTACATTGAAGGGTTAAGAGTTTGACGATTTCAGCATATTATAAAAAATAGCAAGTGGAAACTTTTTACGATCTACTTGTATTTTACAGTGCTCTTGAACAAGAACGTGAAAGTTTACGAGTGGAAACTTTGACGATTATCAGAAATTCGTCAATTTTGTCAACGTTCAATGTTTCCTCATCGTCAAAGTTTCCACTTTTACAGGAAAAGTTACCAACCAAAATTCCACTGGGTGTTGACTTGGAGATGTTTTTAAAGTCGCACACAATAAAACAGGCTAGATAGGTAGACATTGGGACTGATTCTTCATAAAAGTCTGCCACCAAACCATTGGGTCTGTAACACAAAAAATATCAATCTGATAAAATTCATGTACTACCTATATGAAAAGAATTGGTGAGATGTCCTACCAACTTTAAAATTCACAACAAAGAAGTAATGAAGTGAAGTATTTACCTATTTTCCGTTCTTTGTATCCTCATATTAGACAGAGAAATCTTATCGTGCTTTCTTACAAGTGTGACCTTGAACTTTGCCTTCATGTCAGGTTCGTCAAAACAAGGGAAGGATTTTCTTGCGTCAACAGGTTCCATCTGAGTTGTGGCCATGTACCTGAAAAATGGCAAAGCCATTGATTCATGTTCTGTAACAAAAAAGTAAACAGTGAAAAAAATAATTATTTCTAGTCCTGAATGAACTGTGTGAATTTACATCCATTTTATATTGCTGAGGCTGTCCTCCAAGAATATACCATAAGCTATATAAACCCGTTTTTTTTTAATTTCCAGTTCATTATGTTTCTGCAGTCAAAAAGATATCAGCTACATTCAATCTTTTTTTTAAGAACAGCTCTTCTGATAACGCTAAGTTGTAGAGTATCAGAAAAGTTGATTTTATGATCTGCTAAATTAAACTAATAATTAATTAATAACTCAAATAAAAAACATTTATTTAGAGCGAATTATTCAAATAAAGTACAATGATTGTGTAAACTACACTATATGACAATAGTATAAAGTTTATTACAATTAAATATTCGTACATGAATTTTCTGTAGCCATGGCCTTATAAGTACATATACAGTCAAACCTCCTTATCTCGAACTCAATGGGACCGAGAAAAAAAATTGAGATATCCGAGAGTTGATATCCAGGGTAAAATCCATAAAGAATAAGGGGCTGGCACATCCAAATCACTTTGACATATCCATGATATTTGAGATATCAGTTTTCGAGATACCGAAATTCAACTGTATTTGTACCTAAAACTTTCAATCACTACAAAATATATATACTTACACATCACTGCCCCCTCTTTTATAAGTACTGTAGTACAGCCCCGCTAGATCATCAGTAAGGGGACCCTGGAAGCTCATGGACACTGTATATTTAGTCCCCCTCTGCAGAGACTGACCCAGGAAGATGATCAGGAACTGTCGTTTCTTATCCTCTTTCAATCCACTCACTTTGACCGTACCACCATTGGGCTTGCTCATTACTATCACACTGTTTTCAGTTATCGTTAGTTTGTTGATATGCAGTGTGATATTGTTGGTGTTTTCAACAACACGGACGTCAATACTGACCGTACCAGAGAAGGTGAAATTCTCGGGACTCGGCTGGTATATATCTGGAAAGAGCTCCAAGGTGTATAACTCTGGGAGGACTGATCGAGGTAGCCTGACATCTGTGAGAGTTGTGTCCCCTGACACAGCAGACTCATCTAGCCATTTCTCTATGACATGGTAATATTTTGACATCCAGTCTATGTTGGCAGTGGTTTTCTCCATGATCTGTTCAAAGGCCCTAGTCCCTGATCCCATATCTGGATACTTAAGCTTGAAATCCCTCAGCTGAAAACAGAAAGCATACAATCCAAATGCCTTCTGCTAAATACTGACTATTGTTATCAGAGAGACTTTTGTAAACTTTTCAGTTTTCAGATATACATGTATGTACAGAGTGTATTTATCACCAGCTTATCATTCCAATATAAATAATTTTCTCTGCAAAGGCAGGGTGGTTATGACTACATGTATTCGTCTTAAAAAAGGTCATTCAACAATAGACAATTATCTTTGGAAAGAGGAGCTGGGGGCAGGGAGGTTATTGTAATTATAGCAATAATTTTACAATTTCAATATTACATACATGTATACAGGCTGTACAAACAAAATATACGGAATTTAATTTACTCACTTGCTGCAGGTCTTGTTCCGTGTTGAAAGTTTCCAATATTCCATTTAGAAGATTTTTTAGAGCAAAAGAGGACTCTCCATACCTAAAATAGAACAATACATGTGCATTACATCTTTTTTTTAGTGAAAAACCTTTTTAATTCATACATCATTTCCTTGGATTTCTTATTTTCTTCATAGATTTTGTCAAGTTAAACATAAGAATTTCAAACTCAGCTGAAGATAAACTTTCATATGTGACTATATACCAGAAACATGTTGATGTTTGTCCGAGGTCTTGGTGGTATTTACTATATCTATGATTTACAAAAACTACAATATGTCCACCTCTAAAATATTTACAGTGGGGCCCCATTTATCCGGACGCTTTGGTTCCCAGACAATTTGTCTGGATATGTGAAGCATCCGGATACCTGAATTGCGCTGATTTTAGTTATATGGCTTTTCATACCATTTTCAATAGTAAAGAATGTTGCTTTTTATCAATATGTTTTATTGTTAAAATACTGTAATATAAGTTAGCACTACTCAATACTTGTTTAAATAAATAAAAAAGAGCAAGTGTCATTGGAAAAAACATGTTTACACGGTCACATTAATTATTTCTTCTTCCCAGTGTCTAATGAATCAACTTCTCCTAGTAGCCATGTCGGTACTGTTGGTAGAGTCTTATTTAATATGAACGCCCATCAATGCTAAATGTGACATAATCTGCATATGTATACAAACGCTAATCGGAATCATCCAAAGCAAGATCGTATTAACAATTGTGTAATGTTGAAAGTGGTTTTATAAATGTCATCAAATCATAGAATGCGTTTAGCACACAAAATTCTGTGCATAAAAAACCCCGATGTCATGTCTATAAATACATAAAACCATGTTACGACTGTATTCTACATGTAACAATAAAAGAAATATATTTGCCAACTATGAAAAAATCATCCTAGACTTATGAAATTATTTTCCTTAATTAATACGTATCAAAACCGTGTTAGAGAAGCGAGAGTCTCGTGCGTACCTATCGACCTACAATTAACCTTGCCGCAAGCCATTGATAACAAGTCGCAGGTGATCATCTTTTAAAACAAACAGCCAGACCAGTGTTTTTACAACAATTAACACCCAAATCAAGAAATATGAGCGGACTTGACAGACCAGTTAAAAATTATCGTCCGGATAAATGAACCAAAACATAACGTAAAAATTCATTTTGTGGTTAAGAAAGACCATCCGAACGTGGAATTCCGGTTAAACGAGACAAAATAACATTAAAAAATTTTGTTCCCATTAAAAATCGTCCGGAAACTGAAGCGTCAGGATATCTGGCATCCGGATATCTGAAGGTCCACTGTACTACCCAGCTTAGCATGACAATTTCATTCCCAAGAGCAAAATTGTAATACATGGATGTCAACATGATAATTTTTTACTTTTTCAATAATTTCCTACATAATTATATATCTGAACCTAAAGGATTATTTTAAACATTTGAGCAGACTTGATCATTAATCTTGTATGGATTCTGCATTACTGAATCTAAATTTCATTTCTCTAATAAAAAGCCTAACTACATTTTAATTAGAGAAACTTACATCCTTAACAGCTGATCAAAATTAGCCTTGACAAAGTTCCATGCTAGGTCCCGACCTATCGTATTCTGTGACACGTAAATGATAACGTATATTCCATCCTGTCTGCGCACTTCTGAGGAATTCAAAGACATACTCAAATACCTGGAAAGCAATATTTTTTTTATTATTAAGTATATTTATAACTGCTTCAATTAGAGATGTTGTAGATGACCAGGAATATTTTTGACATTCAGTAAATAGCTCATAGCTAAGTAACCCCTCATTCCCTCTCTCTCTCTCTTTCCCTCTCTTGTTAAGTATCCTCTCTCGTCTCTCTTGACTTGCTCTCTCTCTCCATCCTCTCTCTCTAGCTATCTCTCTCTCCCTCTCTTGTTAAGCATCCTCTCTCACCTCTCTTTCTGAATTGCTCTCTCTTTCTCTCTCTAGCTAAGATTCCCCTGTCATTTCTCTTATTTGATAAGTGTCCTCCCTCATCTCTCTTTCTGACTTGCTCTCCCCCCCTCTCTCTCTCTCTTACTTGCTAAGTATCCAGGTCTGTTTTGTACATGCCAGTGCTCCCATTAGCGTCCGTCTCTCAGCTGCTACGTTAGTGTCCTGATACTGCTGGTAGGCAAAGTTCCATTCTGCCTCTCCCCCCTCCTCGATCGCTGTGCAGTAAACTGTGGACTTCAGGTCAGGATCCACTCTAGTGAATAGTGTTTTAATAATTTGTATAAGTCTTCATGCATGAATTCAACCATAAACTTCACTAACTTTCAAATAAAAGTTCAAATACTGTAAAAGCAGAAATATTTGTTGGGGATTAAATTTCGTTTATTTCACTGTAAACGATTATCAATGAAATTAAATCCTGCAAAAATTTTATATATGACTATATATTCAATAGGGTTAGTTTCAAAACAATAAAATTAAATGCTGACAAAACCTTTCTATATGACAAATCAACCAAGTTTTATCCTTCTACTGTAAATAATTTTGTTCATAGTGTCAAATATTAAGTAGCCTCTGCACAAAATCTACATAAAACAAGAAATGTTTGTGAAACACTTGTGCCCCCCCCCCCCCCTCCCAAATAATTGGAATTTTTCTCTAAGTCCAAGGGGCATATTACTCTGTAAAAAATTGCTTGATTGTACCCAAAACAAAACTTCATTTCAGTATGCGCAACCTCTGCGAAGAAAATGAATGGAAACTGCAAATAACTGGAATTTTTCAAAGTCCAAGGGGCATATCTCTGTCGAAAATTGCTCAAATTGTATCCAAAACAAAACTTGACCTAGATATTCTTATGATATTCTTCTGTATACTAAATTTCTTTTCAGTATGTGCAACGTCTGCGAAGAAAATGAATGGAAACTGTTGGTGGACCCACATACAAACAGACCAACAGACAGCAGCAAAGCAATATGCCCTCCCTTCTTCAAAGGGGGGCATAATAAGACAATGTGCTGTTGAAATTATTTCTAGCAGTATATGGACTCTTAAATGATTGACATGCATGTAAAATTATACATGGATTTACTGGCAGCACAGTTTCTATTTGGATAAATGTGCCTTACAAACGGTACCTCTTGTTAATGGGGTCATCCATCCACTGTTGGAACATTCTAAGAGAACCTGATTTACAGCTGTCTATCCCATACGAACAGGCCTCCTTCACCAATAGTGACCTTGTGTAACTACAAGAAGAGATTACTTTTACATGTATGTTGACAAAAATGGGGGATTATTTTTTTTATTTTCAAAGAATAGGACTTGACTTACATTTCAAGATGCCCAGATCCCGAGTTGTCCATTCCAAGTTTATCGTAAGGAGATTTTATTAGTTTCTGCATGAAGCTCTACAATGACAAATCTTAATCATCAGTACATAAAACTAACACTAACGTAACCTAATATTAAGTCTGTTCTTATTCTGCAGTGTCCACACACATTTCCGATCAGTGATTCAGTAAAGCATACTTCAGTTAACATTTGCAGCTAACATATACTTCATAGATAATATTTCCTCAACTTCATTTATTTAAAAGAAATTGAAAATTAACAAGTAAAATTAACCAGATACTTTAGACATGTTAGATGTACTTTTTTCCACATGGGATTAATTTACGCTACGTAAGTGGTCATAATTTTCCCACACAAATTTGTCACAGCGTACTTAAAATGTATTAAGAACATGTAAAGACAATCCCCGCAGATTGAACAAAAGTTATGATTCCATGGAATTATGACCCCGTGGAAAAAAACTATGTTTACATTAATTAAGGGTAGCTTGGGGAGGGGGGGGGGAGGGGCTACATTCCAGACATAGATTACCTTGAATTTCCCGTACAGATTACTCCTGGTCAACATCTTCTGTACATAAGACAACTCTTTACGTGCTGCATACCAGGGGACATAATCCATCTCAGAACCCAGATACTCCACCATCTTCAGAGCAATATCCATGTCTGTGTCTCCAGATCTAAACAAAAGTAAATACTCATGTCATGTGTGTGATCTTTCTTACATACATTGCAGGTATAAAATGTATAAACTGTAAAATCATTTATTTCTGTGGGGTCAAACTCATGTGGTTTGAGAAAAAAACGACTGGTTCAAGGGGATTTGATTTTGTGGATAAAGGAGAAATATCAATACTGCAGAATGGGATTTTAACCTGTCTTAGGGGTATAAATTCTTGGGTTTCTTCATACCACAAAAACAACAAAAATTAAACCACCCATGACAATTAGTTATTTCACATAACATGTAATTCTACTTATGTTGGTGCAAAATTTCGGGAGAAAGTGTCATACAACTTTTTTTTCGTTTTCATATACATAAAGGGCCATTTTAAGAAACCTTTACAATTTGTTGCAAAACAAGCAGTCTGAATATAAAACTCTCATAGGACAATTAGTCTATGTGCTACAAGAAGAACTTACTTTGCAAGTGCCCAGACATCATTTATTAACTGTCCTCTGTTAATCACATGAATGCTCTACAATATAAGACAAACTCTGCTTATGCTTCTATGTTTTTTTTTAAGGAAACTGCACTTCTAAATATCCCACTGAAAACTCTCTAAATCTTATAATCACCCATCTCAAATCAGCAAGCATATAAGTCATGTTTTGATTTTTAGTAAGAAAAAATTCAATATAGGTTTCTTATATTTTAATCCAATTTTAAAGACTGACAAATACAACCATAATGGTATGAGTCTTTATATAAGTTTACCTGATGATCCGTCTTGAGCTGTTGTACGAGCCTGAGCCAGTTTTCTCTGTCGTAGTTAACTCTATAGTAGCCATACTGCTGAACATTACCCAAAATCCAATCGTTACTATTTATAGCAGTCTGTGCTGAAAACTCTGTCAAAACAAAGGATATTTAATAATACTATCATATCAATTACGACAGGCTAATTTATGAAGTTTAACAAACCCTTAGTTTAGAGAATGTTTCACCTGACATTAAGATAGCAATATTTTTCTAGTATGCTTTAACATTTTTTGCCACCTTTTGAAACTTTCATAAGGTTGTTTATCTGCACAAAATTAATATAGCCAGATTCCATTTAAAGGTGTAATGTTAAACAAGATTCTACCTCGCATTGGTGTATTAAACCAGGAAGCATTCCTCCAGTTCTGGTTGAAGTTTGCCTGGGACTTTGTTGTGTAGGTAAAAGGAACTTCCCACAGGTACCTATCATTTTGAAAAAAAAACATCTATGTATAAGCCATATTGCAAAATACAATTGAACATCAACATCTCAAATACCATGGATCTGTTGAAGTGAGCTGGAAGTCTCAAACACATTTTAACCTCCATATCTCAGAATGCTCGAATATCTCACAGAGTTTTCTTGGCCCATCAAGTTTCAGATACCAAGTTTAAACAGTATTTTAATGCATAATGTATACGATGAAATTTTTGCCCAATTACCCGTCACAAGTGGGCAAATTTAAAATGGGGTGAATTCAAAGAAGGCAGCAGTGTTTCTTAAATACAACTGTGTCTGAGCAAATTTAAAATGGGGCTAAAGTGTTTGCTAGTGTGAAAGGGCGAAAAATAAGATGAGGTGGAAAAAAAACCTTGTATAAAGTATCCTAATATAATGTTGTATCATGAAAACATACAAAAATAAATTACACTTAGTGGATAACTGAAACTACGTACCCAAATGGAGAAGTGTATTTCCGGGGATCCTTGGCGGTCGGATTTTGAAGAAAACGCTTCTGCTGAACTTTGACCTTGCCATTGACAACAGTTACCATGACAACAGGATAATTCATCTGTAAAGTCCAAGTGTCCATGATCTTTTTGACATTGGTGGCTCTTCCTTCCAGCTGGGCTTGCTGTGACCAAATTAAAATGACAAATCATAAAAACAGAAGGTTACAAGATAATTAAGTAAACAGTATGATAGCAATTACTTCCTTACAGAACTTAAACAAATAACATTGCATTTCTTAGCAGTTATTTCTGTAATCAAATTCAAAAGGTCATGTATAGATTACCTCTGACATGGCATTCCATAGATCATTATGGGCAGCATTTCCATACTTCTTTTTATTAAGGTACAGCTGAGAATAGAAAAAGAAATTATCAAATGAATATAAACTGAAAATTAATCCTCAGAATATCTTAATTTCTGATCAAACTCTTTTAAATACATGTAATACTGCATTTATTATATCAGACCTGTTTACCCCGATTGTTGTCTCTCAGTATTTTTTATTAGATTTGTCAGTGAGATTTGACATTTGCCTGTAAGATTTCATTTTCAATCAATTTTACATATATAACTAGAGAACAGGCACATTTCTGACTACCAAAACATGGTTTAATAACAAATAAAAACATTATACCTTGCTTTCTTTCAAGGGGTTTCTGTCATTTTTAAATCACTGGCTTTTGGCAACCCGACATCACTGAATTCATTGAAATCTCTCTTTTTTGCGATTAAAAAACGTCAAACTGGGACAGATCATAACGAATTCTAAGTGCTAAAATCCAAACGAATGAATTTCCATATTTTCATAGTAGGAAAACGTGAGACGTATTTTGGACTCAAAATCCGTACAAAATACGGCGAAATCATAAGAGTAAACAGGTCTGTTATATTACAAAATATAACACTGAAAGATGCACAGATAAATTAATTAATGAATTTATTAATGAGCATTTACTGTCAGGCCCTTCTTGAATGTTTCCTCTCCAAGGAACCACTGCATCATCCTAATTATGGAACCACCCTGTAACATCATAATATATTTAATCTCGGAGGGTGACAAAATCAGCGAAAAACATTTATATATAACAAACATTTCATCACATTAATTTCTCATTCCTGCAGCAAATCAATGAACATAATTACTCTTAGTACATTTATTCATAAAACATTTTACCATTTGCTTTAACACAAAAACGAAATAAAACTGTGTCAAAATGTACTTTTGTTGCTTCAAAATTGAAACTTTTTTCTAAAAATAAAGTAGAAGTGCAGTAGTTACAGGTGACTCTCGATGACTCGAACTCCGATATCTCGAAGTTCTCGATCTCTCGAAGTGAACCTCCGGTCCCGTTTTTCCCCTCTATATAACTAAGCAAATTTACTTCCGATCTCTCGAACTTCCAATCTCTCGAAGTTCTCTATCTCTCGAACCAAGACCTGGGTCCCGTTACACACATTTCATTGTTTTTTACTCTCTATCTCTCGAAGTTTTGATTGCGCGTGTGTACATATGTACACGCCAATCAAGCGTAAAATTAATGCAGCTTGGACTTACCTGGATAACAGTGAACGCCTGGGGCTGGCATGGAGGTGTTAATTGGGTGTTTACATAGATGACACTATACCTGTGAGCATCCGAGTGTTGATATAAATAATTAATTGGTAATTTTTAACGAATTGCTTCACAACTTATTTTGACTTGACAGCGAGACGAAATTTTTTAGAAAATAATTTAAGAGGCGTGTCAATAATTTTCCATAGATTATGAAGTTTTATTAGATTGTACATAATCCCAGTATGACAAACATTGCACAAGAAATCCTATCTCAAGAATTAAATACCGATTTAATACGAGGAATCTGGTACAGGACCCGATCAAGCCCGGGGGGTAACCACACCGACGATTGCTAATCAGGTTTTAAATGAGAACAAATAAATATTGAAACTTAAAGAGATCGTTTTATTTATTCAAAATATGATCATTGTTGTTGAAATCAAGTGAATTACCTGTAAAATACGAATGAAAACGTGCAATGATATTATCAACGTATACTTCCGGTATTTATAATAGTTGAATAGCTCTCATCAGTATGTATCAGCATATGAAGTTTGACACTAATTTAAGAAAAGTGAGGTCAAGGTCAAAGGAAAGGTCAAGGTCAAAAAATGTTGATGCAGTTGAATAGCTCTCATCAGTATGTATCAGCATATGAAGTTTGATAACACTATCTTGAATGGTATCTTTAAAACTGAGATAAAAACTTATTTAAGAAAAGTGAGGTCAAGGTCAAAGGAAAGGTCAAGGTAAAAAATATTGATGCAGTTGAATAGCTCTCATCAGTATGTATCAGCATATGAAGTTTGTTAAAAATATCTTGAACAGTTTCATTAAAACAGAGCTAAACATTAATTTAAGAAAAGTGAGGGCAAGGTCAAAATAAAGGTCAAGGTCAACTAGAACTGTCCAATAGGGACAAATACGCCCCCGCTGGGTTTTTCAGAGAAAGTACCAAATCACTAATGTTTTCTAGATGTGAGAGGTGTTCACAATTTCCTTAAACATTTACAGTGAAAATTTAATTACTCATTATATTTTTTATATGTCCGTCTTAAGACGGGACGTATTATGTTATAGCGTTCATGTCCCTCCGTCCGTCTGTTAGCTTTTTCATGTCCGGCTCATAACTGTAATACTATTAGGCATAGAATTATCAAACTTTGTCAGCTGATACATCTAGGGTAGAAGGTGTGTCGCACATTAAAACCAGGTCGCTCTAACCTTTAATAAAGACGCTATGGCTAAATATGGAAAAATCATAACTAGAAAACCATTAGACTTAGAATCAAAAAAACTATGTCTTTTAACTTTTAAATTACACAATCCCAAAAGATGTCAGAGTATTGCAGTATCTTTATTAAAAAAGTGTTAAATCAAGAAAATACTAGTCTTATTTTTTTCATTATGTTCTTTACAGCAATCTGTAACAAGAAAAATTCCACCTCTCCCATGGGTGTAATGATCAGGCACTGGTCAAGGAAAATTTTGATAGCAGAAAATTGCATGTCAAATTAGAGATAAATTAATGAGTTTAGTGTGAGGTGATAACTGGTAGAGCATCTCTGATCAAGCAGGTGTTATCTATATCTCTTGGGAAATGGGCAAAAGGAATCAGCCTCTTAATTAATTGCTTGTGTTGTATTGAATTGTTCTTGTTGGCTAGTCTTACTTTCAAGATAAATTTGATGTAATTAAAACTAATTTGATATTGTTTATAATAATTAAAACTTATATGATATTGTATAATATAATTTAAACTAATTATTTATTGTACATTTTTAATTTGAATTTTTATATCTTTACAACAAATTGCAGACTGCCTTGTCTCACTAAGATGTCATTTGACCAATTGAATCTAAACTGTTTATGATAATTTAACAATATTTGATGGGCGTATAATGCTGTGGTGGGGCACTTTATTTTAATGAATGAAACTAAGGTGCAGCCTAATAAAACATCAACACTAATAATTACAGTGTTTTTTATTACATTGAAAAAATAGTTTGCAACTATCTGTCATCTTTGTGAGACATGACACTCTGCAAATTGATTGTTGAAAAAAAAAAATATTATAATTAATTATACAAAATCAAATTGATTTTAATACCTTTATATCAAACTCATTTTAAAAATAAAAGGCTGGTTTTAGTAACTATGTATTTTGACAGACATAAATAACAATTAAGAGACTTAGACAACAGAGATCTTTATTTCTTTCTGCCCAACTCCCCAGAGATATAGATAAGACCTGCCTGATCAGAGATGCCCTAACAGCTTCCCACACTGAACTCATTAATTAATCTTTAACTGGATGCATGTCCACTCATTACTCTCAAGGGACAAATGGATTTACACTATCTGCTGTGTAATGTAAAAACTGTTTTTAATACTTTGTGGGGTTTTTTTTTTTAGTTCTAATGAGTAGTTTAAAGCTGTAGTTCACATTTTTGTACAGATGTTCTAGGTTCTATGTCTCAAACCTTAGACATGAACCCAAAATGACTAAGTCAATAAAAATAAAAAAAAAAACACCTGTAAAATGCAGAAAAATTATCAAATAATGTTGAAAATACCAGGTGCACATCTTCATATGGTAAATAATAAGTGTACAAATTTTCATACAAATCTATGCAATAGTTTCTGGGAACAGATCCAGACAAAACCACATAATAAAAATGAAAAAACACCTGTAAAATGCAGAAAAATTATCCAATCATAATGAAAATACCAGGTGCACACCTTCATATGGCGAATAATAAGCGTACAAATTTTCAGACAAATCCTTCCAACAGTTTCCAAGAAATGGTCAGGACAAAATCTCGTCTACAGACAGACGGACAGACGGACATGCTGATTCCAATATACCCCCCCTAAACTTCGTTTGCGGGGGGTATAAAAAAATGTTGATGCAATTGAATAGCTTACATCAGTATGTATCAACATATGAAGTTTGATTACACTGTCTTGAATGGTATCTTTAAAACTGAGCTAAACACTAATTTAAGAAAAGTGAGGTCAAGGTCAAAGGAAAGGTCAAGGTCAAAAAATGTTGATGCAGTTGCATAGCCCTCATCAATATCTATCAGCATATGAAGTTTGATAAAAATATCTTGGATAGTTTCTTTGAAACTGAGCTTTGAACAGAGCTAAACGCAAAGTGTGACGGAAGGACAGACGGAAGGACCGAAGGACAGAAGGACGGAAGGACGGAAGACGGACATGACAAACACTATATGCCCCGGCCATACTCATGGCGGGGCATAAAAATACCTTGGAATAAGAAATTGTGTCAAATATCTCATTGATTTGGGCTGGGTTGTAGACCGGGGCGTAGATCGGGTGGGAGGAGACCAGGCCATCAAAACTAAAAGCTGCCTGAACCTCTGACACTGTAAACTGCTCAAACTGAAAGTAACAGTGTGTAAGATTTCCAAACTTAAAGTAAACGGTAAAGCATTCAAACTGAAAGTAATGCATGCTGAGATTGCTCAAATTAAAATACAAAATGTAACTTGTTACAAATATTAAATAGGAATATCTTACTTGAGCAAAATGAGTTTAGGTTTATTTTCAGGAACTTAATTTATACCCCTTTCAACCTTTTCCTAAAATTAAACGAAAATCTCACAAGTTTGGGTAAAAAAAAAAAATAAAAATATTACCATTTTCCACTCTGGATATTTATGATCAGCTCCGAGGTATTCCACAAAGGTGGCAAATCCTTCATTGAGCCAGAGATCATCCCACCATGACATAGTAACAAGGTCTCCAAACCACTAGAGAAATAAAAAGATTGAAATACAGTTGCCAGACAAAACTTTCATCACGGTGACTAAATGTTCATTGTTTTATGTGAATTCAACAAAAAATCAGTCAATTTCTAGTGTTAAATGAAAATGCATATAAATTCCGATTTACAAAATGTTCAATGAACACAAAAATGCAAAGACATTCACTTTCAATTTAATACAATTATTAAAGTAGATTTTCATCTCATTCCTTTTATTCCAATGGAAAATTGAGGGTTAAATACAAAAATATAAAATAATCTTTATCTTTGGAAAAAATATGAAAGACATTGAAATCTCAAGAATACAAAAATAGATCATCATGGTGATGCAGCTTGCAAAGCAATTTAAGTAAATTAACCTATAACTTGAGTACATTTACATGCAACTTTAGTATATTTAATTGTAACTTCAGTACATTAAACTGTAATGTCAGTACATTTACCTGTAACTTCAGTACATTTACCTTAACTTCAGTACATTAAACTGTAATTTCATTAAATTTACCTGTAACTTCAGTTCATCTATCTACATGTATAACTTCAGTACATTGAAATTCAACTTCACTAGATTAAACTGTAACTGCAGTAAATTTACCTGTAACCTCAGTAAATATACCTGCAACTTCAGTACATTTACCTGGTGACCCAGTTCATGGGTTATCACTGTAACCACTCTCTGTTTGTTAGTTTCGGAGGACACTCCAGGCTGATACAACATGGCAGTCTCTCTGTACGTAATTAAGCCCCAGTTCTCCATGGCTCCAGCAGAGAAGTCTGGGATAGCAATCATATCTGTAACAAGAAACCATTGTCACAATTAAGCATCAGTTGACTGAGCAACACCTTCTTGTACAATTATACTTGAAGACTCTGTTTACCATTTTCTCCATCACCCCCCTCCCCTTCTCTCTCTCTTGATTTCTGCAAATTCCACATCAAACTTCCCAAAAAGCATCCTTGGGTAAAGGGTAACTATTCAAACTTGGTTCAAATGAAGGGTCATGCCCTTTTCTGAGAGATAATTAAGAAATGGTGAAAATTTGGTGGAGTCTCTCTCTCTCTCTTTACATATAATCTCTCTCTCTCTCTCTCCAACCTAATTTTAACCTGTTTAACCTGTTCACATTGTTTCTCTCCCTTAAAATGAATGTATTAAGGAACATCATTTATCAACATAGAGAGTCATTCTACTCATCAGTACCTTGTTTTGGGAGAGGAAAGGGAATGCCAAAGAACTCCTCGTAGTATGTGATGGTTGACATGCCTACATCTAATGCTAGCTCTGTCTGATTGTAAGCCTCCTTTGTTGACCATGCAGAGTACTAAAACAAAAGATTTAAGTTCCAAAAGTCAGACACACAAACTTTAATCAGAACACAGAAGAGCTCAATTGCTTTGGCAAATATGAAAGGCTCAATGTTTTCTATCATATCAAAATTTTGCTGTTAAACACAGATCTTGAGTTTTGAATTATTATCAAAATGCATCTTGGAGAAAATTCTGAACTTTGACTAAAAAATCTGTTTCATTACATGTAACCAGAGGCCAATTGTGCCTGTCACTAAATTGCCATAAGATTAATACTTCATCTATGTCCATTGCATTGTTTTGAAATGATGACCGAAATAGCTTTGCTTGGATTATATGTTAGCTATAAAAATAAGTAAATTAAATAATCTCACAGTAATGTTATTCTTCGTTTGTCCTCTTCTGGGGATGAAGTCACAGATGATGATACAAACGAGGTATGTGGACATTTTTTCTGACACCTGATATATATCAGCCACATAACCATTAGGTCTGCAAAAAAAAAAAAATCAAAAACATAGACTTTAAAAGTTTTAGTAGAATAAATGTAAAACTCAAAGTTAGAAATTGTGCTTGCAAAACGCTATACTCTTCACTGTGGACAATATTCCACTCTCAGCATGGATCTGTCGCTATAAATTTTGAATTTTTATTCCGTTTACTAGTTATTTTACCATAAATCTAAAGATTTTTTATTTTTTACTGACTTAAATAATAAAAGACATGGAAAATGAATTATACAAAGAAAAAATCACTTTGCAAACATAAACAACACTTTCTCATCCACTACTATACAGAGTATACTGTGAACCAAAGTTTTTTTTTCAAGCGAGAAATTTCTGCAAGTTTCAAAAGCTTCTACTCGCAAATATTTCTTGCTGCAAATTATTTATTTTATTATGTATTTATATGTTGAATAATTCCTCAGTCGAAAAATTAGTCACTGATGATAGATTTCAAACTGACTAATCACAAATAAAAACTGTGGATAACTATAGTTCATATACAGTATCACAAAATGCACAATGCCCAATTCTAAAATATTTCTTTCAAACAGTCAGTTACAATAAGAGCTTTCTCATAACCTTATCAGTAATCCTATTTAAATGACTTACCTGTTAACTTGCTGTATAATTGGCATGTTTGACAGCGAGATTTTGTCTGGTTTTCGCACCAGAGTCAGTTTGAACCGAGCTTTCATATCTGGTTCATCAAAACAAGGGAAAGATTTTCTTGCGTCAGTGGGTTCCATCTGTGTAGTCGCCATATATCTATAAATAGATCAATGATTCTTCATTCTAATTAGCTGCTCATACAAATTAGTATGTGTTGGCATATCATGCTAATGGAATACATAAATTACAATCAATTATAACTATTTGGAGACAATATCACATAATTTTAAATGTTGAAAAATCAGGAGGGTTTTTCAATGCAAAAATAATATTACTTTATATTGGTAAAATGGGTTACATCCCAATTTTTAGTATAAATGAAAGCCCTTTGGCCAAGGATACTCTATGACAAATTGAACAAAAAATTGACCAAGGGGTTCTTGAGATATGGCCCATATTCCAAAAAGTTTATGCACAAAGGCCATAGCATTAGCTCCTTGAGCCTTTGGCTCAGGAAAAAAACTCAGTTAAAAGCAATCCTATCCACTAGCTGATATCAATCTTACACTGTATCATCTCCGCGTTTATAGGAACTGAGATAGAGCCCCTTAAGATCATCGGTCAGATCTCCAACAAAATCCATTTCCACAAAGTACTTCTGTCCTTTCTGTAGCGCTCCGTCCAAGTGAATGATCAGAAAATACCGATCCTTGTCCTCCGCCTGTCTGATGAACCTCGGAGAAACTAAATTAGGATTCTGATTGGTCACCGCAATGTTAGAAACGGTCAGTTTGTTCTTGTGCATAGTGATATTGCTAGTGGGGTGCATGCAGTCAATGCTGATTTTGATGTGACCTCTGAACTTGAATTTAGTGGGATCAGCGGAGTATATATCCGGAGTTAATTCAATCTCGTACAGGGTGGGGATGTTGGATCGAGGTAAGCGGACGTCTGTGAGTGTTTTTTCGCCCGAGGAGGAGGTCACCTGTTCCAGCCACTTTTTGATGGTATCGTAATTCCTCTCCATCCATGCTTTGTTGGCTTTCGTGTTTTCAATGGCCTCACTGAAGGCTCTATCACCAGTTCCAAGGTCGGGGTGAGTTTTTACAAAGTCTTCAAGCTTCAAACAGAAATTGATATTTCAAATGCAAGGTACAAGATACAATACTACAGATTGCATGTTTACATTAGATACAAGAAATTCTTCATGTTGAAAATAACTCTAAATACATGAAACTAACAAAAAATTCTACACACCTTTTAATTATTATGATGATATTTACAAATTGTGGCATTTTGAAATTATAAAATACATGTAGATTTCAATCTGAAAATCTAGTCACTCTAAATCTTACCAAACAAAAAAGAATTTTAAAAAGTTTTGAGTTCTTCATTCAAAACATTGCTTTTCTTATTCCGATCATACCTGTTTTAGTTGGTGCATTGAGTTAAAAGATTCTGTGATTCCCTTGATCAATGTGGGAAATTTGAAAAAGCTACTTCCAAATCTGAAAATGTTAATGACTGTGCTTAGTTGACAAGAACACTTGATACGTATCACGAATAATTTTGTGATTTAATTTACTGTTAACAAATTTTTTTCCACAGGGTCATAATTCCGCATCATCACAATTTAAGTTCAAACCGAGGGTAGAAAATTAAGCAGATTTCTTAGATTGCCACTACAGTAAAACATGATATAGCGAACATGCTTATAATGAATTTACGTTTACAGCAAAGTGATTTTCTTTCCCTGTGGAGTTGAAACGTGTTGTAAACTTAACGCATATAACAAATTACGTTTACAAAGAAATCAAAATTGTTGGTCCCTGGCACTTCGCTATAAGCATGTTTTACTGTATATATACCGTAAATCTATTTTAAGTACACAGGGACAATTTTCTGTGGAAAATCTGTGACCATATTCATAGTGTAAAGTAATACCACAAAGAAAAAGTACGTCTACAGTATTTATTTTTTGGCACTTCCTTGTTAAAACTTCTTTGTGCTTACTTCTCTCTCAGAATATCCCAGTTTTCCTGCATAAATTCCCATGCAAGATATCGACCAACCGAATTCCTCGATACATATATGATGACGCTGGTCACATCCTGACTGCGAATCTCTTGTGGATCCATGCTCAGCTTCAGATAACTGTAAAAAAGAACCAATGATTATCTAGATTAATTGAATTTCCTTCTCTAATTAACTTTAAAAAACTAAGGAACAGTGTTGGAATCGGAAACTAGTAGGTTCCTGAAAGTATAGTGCATGCTTACAAGTTTAAAATATCCAGGGAAAATTACCAGTTTGGAACAATTTCTAACACTGCCTCAACTATTGAGCAATTCAATTGACTCTTACAAGGAGACCATAAATTTTATTTCTTCCACAAGGTGAAGTAATGAACATGTAGTGTACATATCAGAGGTGTTTACCCCATGCTGCAGATTTCAGATTTTTTTTAATGGTTTCTGCCTTTCATCAGTAATTTCATGCTGACAATACCTTGGCTTTATTTTCTTACTTGGTTTTCGAAAATGTTTAGACATGATAGATTTTCTATCATTATGTTAGTATCTGTTTTGTCACCATGTATCATACATAAATGACACAGAATATAAATCAGAGTAGTGCCTCCATCATTGCAGTGGTTGTGCATAACCCTGACCCGTAATTTCTGGAAGTCAATCTGAAATCCATATTTTGAACGTAAAATCTGGAATGGAATTTCTGTAATAGTAAACATTTCTTGAGGACTGTGTCTGGGGTAACGTTAGACTCACTGATTATCCATGTTTTGAACAGAACGGACCTGAGGTCAACGTTCAGATCAAGCATCCATGCTTTTCCGAGGCAGCATCAAGGTGAAAGTTGATCTAACTAAGCATTTGTAATTTAGGCTTTTTTCCTGAGGTTCCATTTGAGAGCAGAGATCTGAGGTGACATGTTAGACTTGCGTATTGTTGATTTATGCATCTTAAGTCAGACCAAAGGTAACATTTTAGATTGACTGTTTGTGAATCCATGATTTTGAGGAGAGGCCAAAGGAAACACTTTAAACTTACTGATTGAGGATCCACATTTTTGAGGAGGTCTGAGGACACATTTCAGACTTACTGATTGAGGATCCATGTTTTTGAGGACAAGCCCATATAAACATTGTAGACTTACTGAGGATCCATGTCCCTGAGAAACACTTCACACTTACAACTTGAGGATCCATGTTTCTAGGACTTACTGATTGAGGATCCATGTTTTAGAGGAGCAGGATAGAGCTGACAGAAGGAGAGATTTCTCTGAGGCTACTGTGGTCGTCTTGTACTGAGAATAAGCAAACTCCCATTCTTTCTGACCTCCTTCCTTGATACCAGTGCAGTATACAACGGTCTTAATGTCTGGATCTATCCTGTTAATGAATTCAAACAGTGTACAACCACCTTAAATCTGGTTAACAAATGCATAGCTAAAATATACATCTGGATCAAATGAGAAACTAGTGTAAAGACATAGCTCATTTAATACTGCATATTTATATGAAAATCTCTTGAAAATTCTGAAACAAAACAACAATGAACATGAAATCATGTTAAATGTCAATGCAGGAGTTTTTTGCCCCCAAAAAATCAGTGTTCAACTGAGTGGGAACTAACTTGTTTTTCTGAGGATCTTCCATCCAGGCCTGGTATAGATTATTGGCTTGTGACACACAGGAAGACACTCCATACCCACAGGCAGCACTCCCTACCATGGAACGCAGCAACCTGAAAAACAGCTCAAAATCTGCTCTTTTGAATCTTACATCATATTACATGTACATTATTTTGAGTCTTGAGCTTCAAATACTCATAGATACACTAATCATTCATGAAAATTGAAAAATATTAGTACTTAAGAATTCTCAAAAAAAGAGAGATTCGAATAATTTATCGATCCACAAAATTTTTATACTAATGCTTATAATGCAGAACAGGAGGATGACTTACGTTTCAATGTGTGTCGAGTTGGAGTCATCCAATGTTAGCTTCTTGAAGAGATTGTTCAATTTCTGTTGCATAAATGTCTACAAAATTTTTTTAAATATGTTGTAATTCATTAAATATTATTTCTAGACATTAGTGGGGCTATACTTGAAAAATTAAACTGGTTCATCAACTAATTACCTGGAAATCCCCGAAAGCCTCAGTATCCCCGAGCATGTCTGACAGATACCCTAGTTCACTCATGGCAGCCCTCCAGGGGACATAATCTGCCTCGGTGTCCAGATACTCAAGACTCTCCAGGGCCACATTCACAGATACTTCCCCTGCCTTTAACAGGTTCCAGACGTCGTTAATTATTTGGGCTCGATTCAAAAGAGGAATTCTCTGTTAAACAAAGGAAAGAAAGCATTTATGTACTATTAAAACTACATATGTGTACTATGTAAAGTTATATATATCAGTAAATGTACCAAATTCACTGCATCTTTTACTTAGACAGCAAATCTGACAAATTATAACCTCTTAATTACTTGTGTATTTCTTTATTAATAAAAACATACATTTACGTGCCTTAAAATTGACTCAGACATACATGCTTTAAATAAATCATTTATAGTTTACACTACTGAAGGTGTTTTTTTTTTCAACTTTGCATTAGAAGTTTCACTACCTGGTGCTCTTGTTTAAGTTGTTTCATAAGGGCCATCCAGTTTGTTTCATCATAGTTTACTCTGTAGAAACCGTACTGCTCGACGTTACCCAGAATCCAGGCCCCCTCCTCTGCTGGATAGGAGCTACCAAGAATGTCTGAAAAAAGAAAAAAGAAATTAAATTTATTAGTATATGGTATACATATATCTACAAAGAAAGTTTATGAAGTTCTTCATGTTTTTATAAGAAAATGCACAGTATACATGTATAATGACAAATAAAGTTCTTATGTAAAAATTACTTTCTACAAAAATTCTCAGGTCAAAGCATTACATACTTTGTGCAAAGAAAAACACAGAGAATCAAAGATTACAAAGCTCGCCTCAACAAATATTATAAGTAAGACAAAGTTTCAAATCAAACAAGCATTCTGCTAGGGTGCATTCCTAGATACAACATCCCTACAAGTTTGGTCAAGTTAGGAACTATAGATCCTTGAAAATGGACCTGATTCTTCAATCGCCTGCAAATGTTACTCGTAGGTCAGACCTAGTTTCCAAAGTGTATCTGATATTGTGAATCTCTAGTAACATGCATCAACAATGCAAGTTCATGCAATCACAATGAGAGGACTCATAGTTACTTGCGAATGGACAAGTTATATAAATATTAACCTGTTCAGTTACCTGGAAAACATAGGTCAAATGTAGCATCTGAAGCAAATCTGGTAATGTGCATCCCTATAGGCATCATCCATGCAAGTTTATCACTGTAGGGCTTATAGTTACTCGGGAATAAAACCTGCTCCAAAAACTTAAACCTGCTCCAAAAACTTTAACCTGCGGCTGCCTCTCATGTAGGAAATTTAGGTCAAATTCTTCATCTGAAGCAAGTAAGGTAGTGTATATCCCATGATGCACGATTTATGCAAATTTAGTGCAGGTAGGGCTTATAGTTACTTGGGAATAAGACTTGCTCCTACAACTTTAACCAGGACACCAATGCCGGGGATATAGCATAAACTCATCTCAACTTCATAGAGGTGAGCTAAATATGTGTATATTTTATTACAATTTATTAGGTTCTTAATAAAATATACATGTATATTGGAATCTAATTCCAAATTTTAGGGTGAAAGGAGGGGGGGGGGGAGGTTTCTTCCTTCAGTCAGGGCTGTGCTGCACACAAACACGAAAACTCCTTACCCCTGGTTGCTCCCATGATCCACTTAACATCTGCATCTGTCACACTGAGACTTGAATCCTGGCTAGTTTTGAAGGTGAATGGAATTTTCCATATGTAGCTATATAACAGAGAGAACATGTAACTGGTTAAGAGTTTTTTTTTCAATAGAAACATGCACATGTAATACTGTGTTAACAAATTAATCAAGGATTCTTTTTTTTTTTTACATAAATTAAGTGTATTTATAAACATCAATGGCCATGCTTAACCGTTAAAATAAAGTACCATTTGTGCTGAAATAAGGAAACATTGATCTTATTGAAGGTTAATATTAACACTTTATTATACGTATATCACATGGCTTCGAGGGTAACATACCAGAATATTTCCCCCTTGGTGACAGGAAAGCCCTGGAGTGTTATTCACCCGGTGTCGAAGGCAGAGGGTGACATAACACTCCAGGGCTTTCCTGTCACCGAGGGGCAAATATTCTGGTATAGTCATCCTCAAAGCCATGTGATATATGTTATATAACAGTTTTGAAATTAAAAAACTGTCTAAATCTTTTAAGTTTAGACAAATAATTCAAAGATGCTTTCATGACACTTTGAACTACGCTCTGTTGATTACGTTTGCTTAGCAAACAGCTTCATTAAATCTCGAACGCAAGCTGTATTGTGCAGAAAAAAACCAAGCACAGATGAGTGGGAGGGTGTAATAACTGTTTCCATTGTGTGTTATAACTGTGTCCGGTGATTCAGCATTTTTCAGGGTATATAGTGAAACTTATTACATTTGTAATATAATAGAAAAAACTTATTCTGAACTTTTTAAATATGCTTGTAGCAATACATATTAAATAAATGTAGCAATATTAAAACCCTGAATAAGCATTTCCCTGTACAGGAATGAAAATTCTAAAATATACAGAGACAGCAGAGCAACTTTGTTTGCCTTTGAAGTTATTGCGTGCTTTACTGTGTATGAAAAATATCTGCAACTTCACTATGTGTACTCCAAGTCTATCCTTAAGTACAAAAAGTTCTCTTACTTGAACTTGGAAACAAACTGCCCAGGGTCAGTGGAAGGGTCGTTGACAAGGAATCGCTTCTGTTCCACATGGACGACTCCACTTGAACTCTTGGTAACCTTGACAACAGGGTAATTCATCTGCGAGATCCAGGTGTCCAAGATATCCTTGATAGTGGCAGGAAATGTCTTCCCCTCGGTTTGAGCTCTCTGTTACAGAGAAAATTTAAACATCTTGATACATTGTACAACTTACTCCTAAAAAAATTACATGAGTGTTCATGTACGCAGTTAAACCTCATTATCTCCAACTCAATGGGACCAAGAAAAAACTTTGAGATATCCTATTCCATATATATTGGGTAAAATACATGAAGAATAAGTGGTTGGGACTTCCAATTCACTTCCTCAAGATATCAATGTTTGAGATACTGAAGTTCAGCTGTACATGTGTATAATTAAATGCAGAGAATTTCACAGAATTAACATATGCTTCCATTTCAGTTCTTGCTTGAATAAAAATGGACTGCAGATTTGTCTCTTCCATAAAAGCACTAAAAGCCCACTTCATCATCAGAAAAAGCTTAATTGATACATGAATTAACTGTTCATTTCATATTGTGCAAAAATTGCCTCAAGAGACTTTAAAACTTAAAAAACAAAATTTATGAAAGAAGTTAATGAAGATAAGTGTAAGAGCCTCAATTTAATACCTCATAAAAGAGAGACATCTTTTTGGGCTAATGTGTGTCAACGCGACTTAATTATTTTCAGTGATGAGTCATTACATCAAAAGCCAGAGAGGTTTTCCACCAGGGTAAAATCAAGCAATATTGATACTGATCATATGACATGTCTAGAGATTCAAATATTCAAACCAGTTACCCTCAACCTATAAGGTATATGACAGCCCAAAACCTTTAGATATACATGGAAGAGTACCCTTGTTTATTATGAAGTATTTTACCGTATCTAAAGCATTGAAAAGGTCATCATGGAAAGCACTGCTATACTTCTTCTGTTTTAGATAATCCTAAAAGGAAAAACTCAGAATACAGTGTTATATCAGTAATAAAGGTGTCACATCAGCATGAAAGGTGATGGTTGGTTTACAATCCCTTTACTATGGTTATAGGTAATATGCCAAGAAAAATCAAGTTACATAAAATTCGCTTCAGATTTTTACGTGTATGTTAATATGTTCATGAAAATATTTTTGACTATTTACAGAAGGACATTTTATCAAAAAATTTCACAAGTATGTGAATGCTCAAATGCTTGAAATAATATTGATAAAATTATCTAGTACCTGAAGTCCTTTCAGAAATGTCTTTTCACCCATAAAGAATCGGAGCATTCTAATAACTGAACCTCCCTGCATGCAGAAAAAAACATACTTATACGAATTAACATTCTCTAAAATTATACATATTTCATTGACATCAGAACCCACAAAATATTTCCTTCTGCTTTATTTAAAGAGACTCAGTCTTAAGAACTAACGTATCTGGGGCAAAGGCTTTATCATACTTAAGTTAGATGATGCATGAAATGACCAAAATCTTTCTAATTTTACTCTCTAATTTAAGTTTTAGCATTACTAAAATGGCAGATATATACCAAATTTTCTCAACAACTTATTTTCACCTGAAAGTTTTTTGGCATTAATAAGCGAGACAATATTTTCACAAACCTTGGTCATTGTTGTAGATAATCTTTAATTATAAAACCATACGCCAGAATTAAATTTTCCCTAGCAGACAGAATTAAAATTTCTCTAGCAGACAGTCTCACACAACTGTGCCAAAAATAAATTTCTCACAAATGAAAAAGTGATTTACAGTATACAGACTAGTGTTTTTCAGGCATGGAAGACACAGAAAATAGGGTGGGGAAATTAAATTTCATTTACTTTGTGGTCAACACTTTTCAACCTAATCATACTCTGCAGGCCAAGAAAATTTTATCCACTGCAGGGATTATACATTGTAATGTCAAGTTCATCAATTGTTTTAACTGAAAAATGACAAATTGAAGCAAGTCCTTTTGAAATGGTGATAAAATTTTAACCTCTCAAAAATATATCTGCTCAGACTACAGTATTTCTACTTTAAAGTAATATTGCCTTTTGGTAGCTGATATCATCAAAGATTTCATTGATCTGGTCGGGATTTTCCACAGGTACATAGATTGGGTGGGAGGTTGTCAAACCATCCTTCTCAAAGGCCCTGAACAGGTCTGACACTGTGAACAACTCCAGCTACAAAAGGTACAGTATGTTAAATTTCCTACATACTATCAAGAAGTGAACTGAATCAGATTTAGAGAGTAAAAATTAATTTCCCAAAGTCAGTCTTAAAAAATGTTACTTAAAAAAAACTATCATTAAGCAACTAATCATAAAAATGTATGGAGATACTGTAAACCAACTATTTTTCGCGTTATCTTTTATTCGCGATTCATAAGTTTAAATAAATCTGCGACAATTAATTTTTACAATTGACGAAACATTCTATACAAATACAAAGCATAATAAATGGTTTGCGGCGATTAATATTCGCAAGTTAAAGAAGGTCGGGAAACTCGCGGATATTTCTCGCACACGAATAAAAGTTGGTTTACAGTTACTGTACTCAGTTTCTCAATTTTAAGGACCCTCTATACACTAAAGGAAAATTTTTTTTGGACATTGAGAAAATTATATAGTGTAAAGGTGTAAATATTGAGCTTATCTATTACATTTTCAACATAGGCTACCTTGCATTTACCCCCAGAAAAAATGTTCAAAGATAATGAAGTAATGATAAATAGAAATCACTGTTGTTTACTTAAGTGGGCAAAATACCTGCAAATGAAGTGTTCAATCTATTCATTTTGGCCTATTAAAATGTTATGAATGCTTGATTTGATCAAAAATTAAGTAATAGACAGTACATTTAAATTTATTTTATCTAGATTAAAGCACAGATTACTCTATCTGCATAAAAATACCACAAAATCAGAACACTTTAGTGTGCAGTGTATAGAGGGCTCATAAGGTGTACCATATCTCTGTTCACTCATATGAAATTTTCTTTTAATAAAATTGATTTCAAAAAGAAATGTAAATTGTAATTGAAATGTGAACAATTTAAGTATACCTTGCAGTGAAAACAGACATAAATAATTTTTTACTTGACCATTTTTAAAGGACTAACACCCATTAATCCCAGTGAAAGTTATCTCTTTTTTCAGAAGGTGAATTGACCTTAACAATAGTAATTCTCAGGGGTGTGCAATTAGCATCGCCCGACGCCCAGGGCTACCATTTTTTGGGGTCGGGCTAGTTGTTCTCTGCATGCAGGTAGCCCCTTGGGCTAGTAAAAATTAAAAATACCAATGTTATAAATGAAAATCACTACCGGTATTTTCACTTATTTTTTGCTATTAAGTTCCCAACCAATGAAAAATTTCCAGGCAGAATGCTCCTATTGTTCGTAAATCTCCATAATCTTATCCATTTTGCAGCACTTCCTGACTTATTTACTTCCAAAAACGATCGTTTTTTTTCCTAATCCGAATTTCCTCCATTCATGTGTTTATGGTAAATAAAGGCAGATATCTATTATTTACGATCACTCAATCAACTGAAAGATAAGTATTATGTGATTTACGTGTACATAAAATATATTTCCAGTGTATTTAATAATTTAAGATAAAAAAAAAGATTTCACTTCGTTTTAGATGAGCTAGTGCAATATGCACAGAGAAAAGGAAAAAAAATAATTTATTTAAATTCATTTTTATTTTCTATCATAATTATTAATTTATACATGATTCAATTTTACTAGTGAGAATAAAACTTTAATTCTAAAAAGAATTACCTTAAACCCTTGACTTATTCAACAATAATTTATTTTTTCGTAGTTGTTACATTTCCCACCTACATTTGGGCTAGTAACTTTTTACTGTGGGCTAGTAACTTTATTGCTGCCACTAGCCCGTGGGCTAGTACTTGATTTTTTTAATTGCACACCCCTGATTCTTTAAATTTGATACCTCAATATGCGAACACAGTGACAGCTTCAAATGAACACCATGTCAAGTTTATCATTACAATCATGAACTCAACTTACTATCTTCCATTCAGGACGTACAAAGTCTGCTCCCAAGTATTCAATGAATGTAGCAAAGCCTTCATTGAGCCAGAGGTCATCCCACCATTGCATGGTAACCAAGTTACCAAACCACTGTAATAACGATACATTTTAACATTACCCACTGCAGAAAAGTACAATTCATTACATTAAATTTTACAAAGCAAAATCTTCTGTACTACTTCAACTAAAATGCACATTTTCTAATATATTTGTGACTTTAACCTTTGACCTTTTAACAGGACATTTAACAGAAGTTATATCTGTGACCCTTATCCTCTGACCTGATGAGAGAGTTCATGGGTGATGGTTTTTGTGACTCTCTCTTTGTTAGTTTCTGAGGAGACCTCCGGATCAAATAACATGGAGGACTCTCGGTATGTTATCAAACCCCAGTTCTCCATGGCACCAAGAGGGTAGTCAGGAACAGCAATCATTTCTGCAACAGATTACGATGAAATTTAAAATATCTTATCACTGTGGGCTTATACTGAGCACAGAGCCACAGTCTGAGTTCCAAAAAAGCACCTTTATGACAAAATTTTAGTTGTCATGAAAAAAATTTTAAAATCTCTATGCACATTAAAAACTTGAAGCCTTATCTTTTGTTTTGTTTTGTTTTTTTTTACAGACTTATTTACCTTGGTAATGTTACACAAAAACATTATACACTGGAGTGACTTTTACATGCAATAAGTCTATGTCTGGAAAGCAGTTATGACACCTGAGAATAGGATAAATGAATTGATTTTGAAAGATGATCTTTCACAGCCCAGTATTTCATGGAGAGCATTAAATATCCAATAATTTTATTTCACTTTAAATTTCTACTGTGATTACCTATTCAAAAGAATGTAAGATGCTTCAAATTTTGTAAAACATTTAATAATTCAATGTGACAGGTCTATTAAAATTTAGGCTTAGACCTAGAAACCAATTATAATTTAAAATCTCATAAATGCTTCAGTGGTTTATAATGCTGGGTCTTAAAAGGTCACCCGTCATCATCAATTGATAACTTATCCAATTTTCAGGTGTCATATCTGCTTCTTACACATAATTGTATGCAAAGGTCATTGCAAGTAAGCCATCATTGCATCTGCAATAATCTGCAAAAAATTGAATCTACTGCAGATTCCTTATTTTATGCAATACTTTATATAGCAAGACGGCTCCAAGACGTCAAATCGTGAGAACAATAACTCGCGAGTAGACGTTTGATCTCGAGATTTTACATGCATTTCGGCAGCATAAAAATAAAAGCGAGTAATTTTATTTCGCGAGTGGTGCTTCTCGCGAAATTATGCGAAAATTAATTCCTCGCGTATATTTGGGAATCTACAGTATTCTCCTAAATGCTGCTCACTAAGGAAAATAAGTATTTGAACAAATCAAAGAGGCTAATCAGTCATGAAAGATACCATAACATATGCATGTAAAATTGCTAGTGATGGGAATCGGTAAGAATTTCATAATCGATGAACGGGCTACTGTAACTAACTAATTATCAATTATAATCGGACATGTACAAAGTCTGTCAATTTAGTTTATTAAATGGTAAGAATGGGTGAATAACTACTTTCTTTGGTGGTCCAGCTGTAGTTAGAATAATTTAACTGTGTCTCGGGACGAGCCTTAGTCCATAGAACAATTATATCATTTTAACGATAGAACGTTCTATCTAGTCCAGCTGGTTCATCGTTCATTTTGTAGAATCCAAAGTATGTCCATACCTGGGAATGAGAATTGTTACCCGGGTATGAATACAATGTCTGTTTGTCTGCACCATTATGATGCACAAATAAGTTTATAGACAAGTCACGGCTTGAATATTTGGCTTAAAAACTATTATGCTTGTTAAATAAAATAAATAAACCGATTAATCGGAATAAAAATTTTGTAATCCAGCACTTGGATTAGGCCAGCAATCGACTGATTTTTGATTATAATTGATGACTGAACACCACTAATAATTGCATAATATGTATTTATTATGTGTTGAATGCATCTGTTAGGCCAAACAAAAAAATATGTGTGGTTCCGGTTACACTTCCAAAAAAATTAGGGTAGGTAGGTAGGGAATTTTTTTTTTTTTTAACAAAATGATTTTCTTAATTTTTTCTAAATAATATCATCACTGCTTTGCAAATGGCATTTAGATGTGATAATATACTAGTCAATATTGGTAGGGAACACCTACATGCTAGCTTGCTTTGGATTTAACACTATTAAACACTTGCACTATGTATTGCAAGGAGGCTGTCATTGTTGAAACTAAAACTTAAACTGGAGCCATTAATGGAAATCAGGGAAAATTCCGGAAAAAATATGAAAACTGCCAAAAAAAGTTTAGGGTCGGGGGTATAAAATAGGGAAGGTCGGGTAACCGGAACCACACATATTTTTTTATTTGGCCTTATAATAAATTGAATTTTTTGTGTATCAGAAAGACAAAATGCTGGTTAAATTTGCTGTATTCTTACCCTGTTTAGGAAGAGGAAATTCAATGTCAAAGAACTTTTCGTATTCCTGGATAACTCTTGTTCCCACATATAAAGCTTCCTCTGTTTGATTGATGGCCGAAGGCTGGGCCCAAGCATTATATGTCTGCAAAATTGAACAGTTTTACATCTTTCAAAACAAATGAACATCTACTAAAAGTGACAGGCTGAGGGCCTTCTCACTCAAAGAATGAACACAAAGGATGCATTAAGGACAGATGACCAAACTGTTACCAATGTAACTGCTCAAGTAAATAATTCAAATCAATCAATCAGATTTAATAAGGTAGAATACATGAGCCAATATGGCCAAAAAATCTGCATAGTGAATGAAACATTGAAGAAAAGATGTGCAAAGTCACAAGTTTTAGTTCAAAAAATATCGGGGGGGGGGGGGGGGGGGGGGGGGGGGGGGATACTGAACAAAAATCTATGTCACTTCACACAAGTCTTATTCTTTCTCCTCAGGTGCAAAATCTTACTTCTTAGAGTAACACATGGTAAAATGTAAAATTTCAGTATAATTATGCTCTGTCTTTTTAGACCTTGCAATGTTTCTTACTTTGCCATTAGTAAATGTTCCACGCTTGGACTGGAACTTAGACACAACAAATGCCACAAGGTACGTGGACATCTTGGGAGATGTGTTGTAAACATCTTGTTGCCAATTAGTACTGCTTTAAATAAGAAATCAACAAAAAAGGAAAATTCAAAATTCAAGGCTCTGAGTATTTAAGAATCAGTTAGTGATCATTGTAGTGTGAATTAAAACTTGCTTCTAAGACTTAGTGTTCAGTCACTGTTTAAACCTTCGAAATACACATGGAACTTGCAATTCACACGTAAAGTAAAAGTAAGTTTTCAAAAATTTCACAATAAAAATACATTTTTAAGATATGAAATGACAATCTTTTGGTCTAGAAACAAGACTAATACAAACCCAACATTTAACGTTGTACGTATATTCAAATTCGACAGAGAAGTCCATCCCACAGGACGAGTTATTTTTATGGTGAAGTTGGCTTTTAATCCTGGCTCATCAAAGCACGGAAAAGCTTTCCTGGCATCAGTGGGCTGGAACTGAGTTGTTGCTAGGTATCTGATAAAGATATATTTTCTTATTAATAAAAATAACATTGTTGTCAGTGGCGGATTTAAGGGGGGGGGGGGGCGCACCCATTGTGCACCCCCCCACTAAAATTGTCAAAGTTAGCGTAAATCACAGTTTCGTCAAAAAAATGTCTACTCGGTTGACCTCATTTTACCCTACAAAATCTCTAGAAGCCAGGAGCTTGGTTGTTATGAAGTATTTAATAAATTACTTCCAGTATGTTCTGCAGCCTTGGTTCTTAGGACTTGAATATATACTCCTTCGACGGGAAATTGTCGTATAATTATATGGTACTAACTACTATACACAGAACTGCTGTACTTTCAGCTGCTTGAGGTTTTCAGTTAGTTGTGGTTTTATCTGCAACATTTCAGCCGAAACATCGACTGAATGACATCTCATATCTCAATTTCTTCCACTTCCAAAATTTACTTCTCCATGTTCTCAGTCATACAATGTACACATATCCTAGTCATATATTATACACTCTGCTACGGAGATTTTCCCCCATATTTTTGCAGAATGCATTTCAAGACTCAGGCATTATCTGAAAGGTAATTCTATATTCTGCTAAAACCAAAGTTACCAATCTTTATTAAGTAACCACATCCTCTACCATGTTTACAATACAGCTTCCAAACTTGCATTGCGCGCCATTTATTTTTACGAATCACGAACCCGATCAAAAAATTTTTAACTTCTCGATATTCAGTTATAGATTATAAAACAGCATGCGAATTCAGAGTCTCTTATTTGGAAAATTTTGAAATGCTCCAATTAAATCCACAGCCAAGTGCTTAAGGACAGGACCCCCCCCCCCCCTTCCCCCGCGATAAAGACCCCAGGCCTTTTCGACTCAAGTTTTTTTCATCTTTTAGTGAAATATATACACAATGATAATCAGGGTTCTCCAGTCCATGAGCTATTTTAGTGTGTCGGCCCCGACACAGTAAAATTTTCTCCGACACAGTATCATAATCCATACCCTCAATCGGATAAATTAACTATAAAACAAACATTTTATAAAGATTGCCAGAGTGGGGTAGGTATAAACTGTCTGTTTTAATTAATTTTTCGGATAAACGGCACATGGATTTGATCACAGAATATTTCATTAAAAGATAATTTATGAAGAAAAAAGTCGAAAAGACCCAGAGGTCCATTTCAGGAGGGGGGAGGGGGGATTCTGTCCTCAAGTATCTGTGTCCAAATCAAGTTCAAATTGCAAACTGAATGAAAAGGCTTCAAAAACATAATTTATGACTACTTAATTATAAATCTAAAGTGGAATTAATGGAAACAGACTCTTCTCAGAAAGAAAGTGGAGGCGACAGTCCCTTCCCCTCCTCGTCCTACATGTACGTTAATGAAATCGTACCAAAATACTGTCTCCCATGCACACTACCTTAAAAAAAATTCTGCTAAACTCATGGACATTTCAAATTGCTGACAAGATTTGAAGATTAATTGTGTATATATAAAATGCATACGCTATAGGTTATTGACATTTTATGTGGAGAACCTGTGTCTATATATAGACCAAATTGACCGCTCAGGGAGATTTCAGTACGAGTGTAAACTTATGCTGGAATGTTTAAAATCAGATAAAATAAAACAATTGTCAATATATGAGCAATAATGGCTTTTTTTGACATGCAGCATGCAGTCTTTTATGTCACTGAGCCCGGGACATCAGGAACGATCTTGGCGCTCCATTAGGATCGTCTCTATGACTTATCTGGAGAGCACTTGGGGCAAATGGATCCCGTTTTCTTCTTTTTTGATATTGGGTACGGCGAAACACTTTTTCCCTATTCATGCTTTCAAATGTGCATCATATATCATAGGTTATCGATAATGTAACCTCTATGAGCTATTTAATTGTTAAAATCGCGTTTAATTTTAGCAGGCACTGAAAAAAGCTCTCTCTCTCTCTCTCTCTCTCTCTCTCGCTAGCTAGCCTTAATTATCCCCTGCCGCAGATGATAATATATATGTATTCATTGCACAATGATACACCATTCATTATATTTGAAGAAGAACAGAGGGACATGAAAGTGAAAAAAAAAATCATATATACCTGGTGTGTCCCCCATCATCATATGAACTTAGATAAAATCCTTTCATGTCATTTCGCAATGGTCCACGAAAATTCATTTCTATCTCGTAAATTTTGCTCGTATCAAGAACTTCATTTAATCTAAATATCACAAACTGCCTTTTCAGATCGAAATCCGGATTTGAAAGTGACGTCTTGGAATCTGTGATAGCACCAAACTTAACGTCACTTATGGTCAAGTTATGAGCATGCATTATGACTTCATGGGTGGCTTTTCGAACCTCCATTTTTATCTTTACAGTGCCTTCAAAATCAAATGAATCCGGACTTCCGGAGAACATGTTCGGTTTGATAGCTAGATCATATTCTAAAGGAATTAAGGAGTCTGGTAAGCGGAAGTTCGTGGTTGGTGTTGGTGATGTGGGTGTTGATGACGCAATTTGTGTCGATGACGCAGTTGATGATGTGCTTGAAGGCGTCCATTGTGGGCACGTAGCTGGAGACTTCGTTGGACATGCAACACCTTTCAATATGAAAGAAAATATCTATATTTATTAATTTCTAGTTTATTTATATAAAATCAAGCACTGTTTCAATTACATGCATCGCTGTCGACAATCTGTCTCATTGCGTCTAAGTCTAAGGCATCATATATATACGAACATTTTCAATATTTTTCTTTAACTTATATTATAAAGTTAAAAATTGGAATGCACCATAATCAACATTTTTTACCTAATTCACAGACATTTCAATAAAATATCTCCATAAATAACATTTTTCTCTCTGATAAACGAATCATTCAAAATAACTCACGGCGCAACACAGACGACGTCAAAACGTAGCTCGCGGAGTTTTTGAATTTGTTCAGGAATTGTGCGCCTTTAAAAATTCGTTCGAAGCAGAAATTCGATACTGCTTTTGGTTTTCTTTTAGTTACCGAATTATCCATTTCACACGTACTACAGTTTAGAATTAATCAAGGAATTAATTCTTTTAATTTTCCAACCCCGATCAGGCCAAACAAAAATGTATGGTTCCGGTTACACCTCCAAAAAATTAGGGTAGGTAGGTAGGGTCTTTTTTTTTAACAAAATGATTTTCTTAATATTTCTAAATAATACCTTCCACTCCTTTGCAAGTGGCATTTAGATGTGGTGTGATAATATACTAGTCAATATTGGTAGGGGACACCTTGTGACGGTACATATTGTCGTTTTGTACATATTGTCGTCGGCGACAATATGTACCTACCCTCACTGCACATATTGTCGTCCATCGGTACATATTGTCGCCGGCTGAAAAGTAACACATGTACATATTGTCGCTGGCGACATTATGTGCCTCACCCTCACTGTATATATTGTCGCCCCACAGATATTGTTGCTTAAAGACTTCTTTTGTTGTTTTTTGGTAGTTTTGTGAATGCAATTGGGGTGTATATCACACTGACGTGTCTCGAATGCTATTTCATGCAGCGTGATTGTGACGGTACATTTTGTCGTCTTGTTCATATTGTCGCCGGCGACAATGTGTACCTACCCTCACTGTGCATATTGTCATCCATCAGAACATGTCGCATGACGATGCACGGCAATGATCCATATAAATATGACCAGAGAAACTATAAACTTCAAAAATGGCCATATACACTAAATGTTCTCGTCAAAATATGGCTGAAATATTGCCAACTCGGTGTTAAACAACAATATACAGTTAAGGTATATCATTGAGGGAGTTAGCAAGATTTCAGTTCCCCAAGGCCAGGACTATTTCCCGAGGCGAAGCCGCAATGATACACTTTTGACTGTTTTATTAAACCGATACAAACGTAAAATTTAGAGGATTCAGATAGCGCGATTTCAGAGCAGGGATTAGGTCACTGAACTAACACACGAGGATTAGTCCATTCACATATCATACCAATTTTAATGTAAAACCTAGAGGATTACGGATAACCGGGAATTAGCTTTCGAAGCGGGGATTAGCTCACTTGACTAACACACGGGGATTAGTCCATTCTTAATGATTTCTAGGGAAATAGTCACATCTAGCGATCTAATGTTATATAGGGAAAAATTCAGTAGAGGTATAATAATAATCAATCAATCAACAATCCATATAAATATGACTAATCATTGCTTTGTTTTGCTCTGTTGCATTGCCTTAATCTCTTTTTGAGAAGATAATTATTAAAGAATTATATTCCTATGTAAAAATTTGATCGCTTATTGTGGACCCAGCCTAGGCCCGGTTTGATTTGAAGATGCTTGAATCTGCACTACCTGAGGAATTAACTTCCATATAAGTATCACTATTCACGGGCCTACTGCTGTTCTTAGTGGTGGATCCAGACAAAAGAGGGGGTGGTTCAGAATTTTTTTTGACAAGCTAAAAATTCTTAAAAAAGTCATTTGCATGTAAAGGTGTGTTACTGTATATGTTAAGTAAATTATTAAACTATGAAATTTTATCTGTGGACTAAATTGAGATTATATACAAGTTAAACAAACAAAATTTACCAAAGCAGACAAAAAATTAATCCAAGGAGGGGGGGTGGGGGTGGGGGTGCGCCGGTCCTACATCTGTCTGGTTCATGAGATTTTTAAAGATTTTCTGTATATATTCCTATGTAAGACTTTAATCACCCATTGTGATCCCAACCTATTCCATGGAGTCATTATTTGAACAAAAATGATTTTGTCTTTGTTGTTATAATGATTTTGTCTTTGTTGTTATAATGAATTTTTTATTCGTAGACGTCACCACTTGCCGGTGTAGAGAGCTGCAAAGAACTGCGAACTATAGTATTGTTCTCCCGCCTACCACCACGTCATTTTTCAAAAGTTAACATATTTGAATGATTTTTCATACCTATATAGATATTTATATGAATTTTCATAAAACATTACATTGGGAAAACAATGAGAGATAAATCTATAATTTTGGTAAAACTTGTGATTTTCACTATAGAAAACAACGGAAAACGGAAAATATTTTTAAAACATCCCCCCCCCCCCTGTGAAACAAAATTCCTTTTTACAAGTAATATGGACTGTCCTTTCACAAATTCATACCAAAGCTTTTGTTGTTTCACGGGGGGAACATATGTTTACAGACAAAAAACTACCAAAATGGTTAATTTTTTTTTACCAATCTCATTGGGGTTTACAACTAAAACATTGTATTTTATTAATAATATATGTTTAATTTTATATGAGTAAAACATAAGAAAAAATTTGAGGAACATTTATTCATATCCAAGAATATTTTAAAATGTGGTGATGCTTTAAAGCCCGATTTCAATGAAAAATATCGTCTACCCCCCTTATTCAAAGAGCTGGAATTTGGGTAAATAACTATTTAACACTGGAATTAAAATTACCATAGAACTGTTCTTTGCATTCAACAAAGATTTTTCGGCCAAATTGTCATTAGTATTGAATTAAATGGGTGTAAAATGTAGGCGGGAATCGAGAGTTAGCGTGCGTAGTTCTTTAGACCTATGCTTGGCACTCATGGTCATTGAGCAGTTAGGGATTTTTCTTTTCGTGCCAGCTACGCAAAATTGATCGTACGCTATAAAACGAAGCTTTCACATAAGTATCATCTCTTCTGACCCAGCACAAAAAATGAAGGATTTTTTTTTTCTAAATATTCTTCTTCCCTTGAAAGAGGGCCTAGCCCTTCATTTGAACAAATTTGAATCCCTTTTATCCACTGATGCTTTGTGGCAAGTTTGGTTGAAATTAACCCAGTAGTTCTTGAGAAGAAGCTGAAATTGTGAAAAGTTTACAGACAGAGGGACGGTCAGACAAAATGTGATCAGAAAAGCTCACTTGAACTCCAGCTCAGGTGATCTAAAAATGTGAACCTCAACACCAATTATATCTACATATGATTGTATATAAGAAAAACGCAAAATTAATTTCCAAAAAGATCATTACTACTGAACTAAAAAACTAACACGTGTATTCAATCTCCCAAGTATATTTTACAAGAAAAAAGAATAGGCTGATTTATCAGATGTCTCAAGAATTACGGTATTTTGACATATCACAGTGATGTACATCAATCCTGGACACAATTTTCTGCCCAGAAAGTTTTCTCCCTACAGTATTATTAGAAATGGTGTTTGTCTCCCTCCGTGCGCATGTGTGTGTGTGTTTGTAAATCTCTCTTTCCTTTCTCAAGTAAATACTAGTATTCGTCAAAACAATATATCGACGACAATATATGCCGACCTTGACTGCACATATTGTCGCCGACGACAATATGTGCTGGTGCTTGACTGTACATTTTGTCGTCCATTATGCAGGAGGAAAAAAAGGCTCGTCTCGGTACATATTTTCGCCGGCGACAATATATACCGATGGACGATAATATGTGCAGTGAGGGTAGGTACATATTGTCGCCGACGACAATATGTACAAAACGACAATATGTACCGTCACACACCTACATGCTAGCTTGCTTTGGATTTAACACTATTAAACACTTGCACTATGTTTTGCAAGGAGGCCGTCATTGCTGAAACTAAAACTTAAACCGGAGCCATTGATAGAAATCTGGGAAAATTCTGGAAAAATATGAAAATTGCCAAAAAAAGTTTAGGGTCGGGGGTATAAAATAGGGATGGTCGGGTAACCGGAACCACACATATTTTTTTTATTTGGCCTCATAAATCTAACTGCTCGCATAGTTAACGGCGGTCTCCACGTATGACGTCCAGCACTAGACTTTTCAGTTTGTCGTCATTTTTTACCAAACGCTTCTCCCATTGGATAACCAGTCCATGTATCTTTGAACCTCTTTTACTATGTATAAACCAGTGCTCGATACATGTATTTGTGTCGTTCCTTCGTTCCAGCTCTTATCCCGTGTTAACAACAGGAATCATACCCTGCTCCACAAAGTCCTGAGTGATAATTTGGTGCGCCGAATTATTGCAGGACGTCGCTGTTTTGGGCAATATCTAACTAACAGTGTTTGGTCAAATATAATGTCATATTTTTCTCACTTATAAAGTCAAAGTATTAATTTTTTACACACGAGTACTCTAGATCGTAAAGTTTTTATGGATGGAATTTTTGTCACATTATATTTCCATATAGCAGTGTAATAAAGAAAAACGTATAGCAGTGTAATAAAGAAAAACATAGATGTCAGTGCTAATTTTGAAAGTCAAGAAATTGCCGTGCGCCTACCACCGATATTTAACACCCTTTAAATGCTGTTTATAAATGCATATGACATTCCAACCTTATAGTATTTGGTCAAAATGGCGAAAACATCATTTCCCAACACTGTGCCAGATATAAATAATTTTGTTCAGGTAGTTAATGAAATATTTATTAAAGTTCGCGTTTTTCTGGGACAACCCTCGGCTCGTGATGTTCATTTTGCTTTTGAACATTATAACTTATGCATTTATGGCAGCAAAATGAATTACGAAACACAAACTTAGCTAAAAAAAAATTCACAACCTTTTGCCTAGTTTATAGAAGCATGCTACTATCTATTTTGATAGTACAGGTATACTGGAATCGAATTTAAAGATCCTATTTTTGTTTCCTATCAGAGGAATATATACACACCGACCTGATAGTCTTGATTTAAATCAATGGGTCTTTGATAAAATGGAGAGAGAGGATCGTGTGAAGGTCATAGGAAGGTCACGTGAAATCATGCGGGGTGGTACATGTATATAACAGCCACTAGAAAATGTCCTATAATACTGTAGGGCTTGTATCTGGCCTTCTTGACAAGAACGAGCTGACGCGTTTACAAAGCTTGGTCATGCCCTTTATAAATAAATATATACTAGTAAATAAATGAACGAATATATATATATATATATATATATATATATATATATATATATATATATATATATATATATATATATATATATATATCTTCTTATCAGCTAACAACATGAACAAGGGTTACTTTTTCCAAGGTTGAGGGCTTTATTGTCTTTTTTTTTTTTTTTTTTGGCAACATTAGTTATAGATTCAGTAACTCTGAAAATCCAGAGAGGGGATGGGGTCCGGATTTTTTTTTTAAATCTGGGCGTTTTCACTCTAAAATAAAATTCCTTTGGATGAAAACAAGTACAAATTATATAGAATCACCGTGTGTCTACTTCATTGCATCTATGGGTGATTAACTTATATACAAAACATAATGTTGAAAGTTCATTTCCATCTAGAGTAATGGATGACTGGACACCCATTCATAATATGAAAGTTTCAAATCTCATAGTGATACCGGCACGTATATGTCCTCGACATTAAAACTCGGTCTTCAAATTGATATCTAAACAAACGAGAGCATGCGGATGCACGAATACCCACCGCTTGTGCATATTTACATTGGAGTATTTAGCGCTTTTATCGAATATGGTGCATATTAGCTTGGTTTACTTGATGCGCACAAACTAGACACGACTTTTTAAAGACGATAAGTTTGAAATTCAATTAGTTTGTTCCAATATATTTTTTTTTATTCTAATGTACAGTAGAGGAAATTTTTTATATATGCTTATCCTTAAGGATCGACGCCCAATTAATGCAGTGGTGCAAAATGACATTTTTACTTTTAGCAGGTGCGCGATGCTTTATTTCAGTGCAGTGATGCAAAATGACACAATCATGATAAAAGCTTCGCTTTTCTACATTTGTTTACAAAATTCCATTATTTACACGTAAAGCTTGAACAGATTGAGAACTGGATTGTTAAGTGCTAAAAAGGGATAGAACTTTGAAATTTCAACAGGGCGTAAACAACCCACACCTTTCCTAATAGTGTTTTAGTATAAGAAAGCATTCGGGTGTATGCATATAATTCGGATTTGAAATATTCAAAATATCATCAACATTAACACTTCATAAGTGGCAAATATTTGCCTATTCTAGATCCATGCATATAATCCTTAAATTCCATGTCAAACATTGCATACGAACACGTTTTCCTTATATGCATTTACAACTTATACATATGCATCTCCATAAACCCAAATACGTATGGATTGATATTTCTTGTATACAATTTTTCCTCCTTACTGTTTCGAGAAAAAAATCTCTTATTAATGAAAAATAGAAAATAGAACAAGTAACTCAAAGAAGATTCTTCTGCAAGTCTTTTTTTAAATGGAGATGAGAAATATCTACATTAAAGAGGACTGTGTTATATACTCACAAACTTTGTCTTGGTCCAGCTTTCCCGCCTCTGCGAGGGCTTCACAATCACTTTTGAGTTTTTCAGGAGAAGTGACTTCAGAAACATCATTATTGTCATTGCTTAAATTGTCCTTCTGCACGAAATAAACAATTGCTGCTACACCAGCCACCAGAATCAAACCAAGTAGTAAGAGAATAAACCCCGTAGTCACCCGAACAAAACATCCAGACTCTTTCCTTCTATATTCCGGTTCTATCATTTCCGGAGATGTGTAACTATTGTATCTTTTCAAATCGTACTCCGCCATTTGTGTGTGTAAATTTCCATCCGGCACTGAAAATCAGGGCAACATACAATTCTTGTTCCAGTCTCTTCTAAAAGCAAAGAAAAACGAAAGAAATTGAAAAGTCCATGCACTATCTTTTATCCATTTAAACTTTTAATCCGACGCGTCAAAGATACCAAAAATCAGAAAACCTTCTGAAGTGCCGGGTTCTTCCACAAACTGTTATCTATACCCGCGTTATTGAAAGACTTAACAACCAGCTGATAAATTCAACTACAGGTAAACATGAGTTTTTAAAATGAATTTAGAATCTATGAACAATATAATTTAATATGTAGAGGCCAGAGAGTGGAAAAAACCTAACAACAAATATGTTCTCTTTTAAAAATAAAAACGCAGAAAAACATTACGTGCAGTGTTTCATAAGCGTTTTTTAAGTACTTCATTATATAAATAAACAAACATAGATATATTTAGAGCACAGAAATTGAATACGCAAAAATTTTAATTGTCATCTGCAATTTTTTTTTCACGACAGAAGAATGCGTCAAAACATATTTTCCTCGAGGTGAATTTTCTTCACCTTGGGATGGTATAAGGGCTACAATACGATTGAAAGAGAGAACACTTATTTTGCATATGATAGACATCTAAAGGTGAATTCGTGGTACATTTAAATCCCCTTAATGCAAAACGCAGTTTGTCAATATATACACATCCTGTTCTTAAAAAGATTTCAATTACACCTTCCTTAGTCGTCAAATCCCTTTATGTTGTTGAAATATCTCTTTAAAATATTTTGAGATAATTACATAATATAGAAAACTTTATTATGTCGATAAATTCGAGATTATTTTACATAATATATATAAAAAAAAACATGAGTAGATAAATTTCAAAACTTGATTTCAAAAGTAATCTATAGGTCTTGGACAATTACCTGTGTACAGGCGATAGATAAGTTAACAATTCTTTCAAATAACTTTTATGAAAATTATTTCCTCTTCAAACTTAAAAATAATAAGTTATTAACGAAGGTTCGAGATGCGAAATTTGATGAATAGCATTAAAATTTGAAATATGTCCAGAGGTCACGAATGCTCTTCTATGGGTTACATATTACATTTGCATATAAAAAAAAGTCATCAAGAAATGTCAGGCTAATTATAGGTTTTAGGAAATGTAAATATTTTAAAAGTTAATTGTTTCAAATTATGTTACTCAAGATAAAGCAGATGCATCTGCATGTAAGAAATTAAAGATCCTCCGATGCATGGCATTAAGTTTTAAACAAAATCGGGAAATTTAATTGGGGTCATGAACTAATGAAATGTCAAAGTAAAATTACATAAAACAAATATCTAGTAACGCTGAAATGAGGATGTATTTGATTTAATATGTTTTTAGGCTTAATGAAAAAAAAAGTACCATGTCAAGGAAAAAGGTCAAGGTCTTGAAAAGGTTGAATTGCACTCACTATTTTTTAAGTTATGGAAAAGAAACAAAAGTTGCCCAAAAACCAAATCCACTTCGAAATCTGAGATGAAAAGCATAAAAAGATCGTAGTAATAACGTTCTTCTTTTTACCAAAACGTTTTGTAATTATGACAAGCAATTAAATACTATTCTGCAGAAAATCCGGTAAAAATACATTTGCGATTTCTATGAGACACACAATCCTGAGTATCAATTACGTCATTGAGACTGTTACGATAACCACCAAGCCCTACAATTCCTAACAGCTAATGGCATTTTAATTTTATTTGTGATTTTGTGATATGACTATTGGAGATTTTTTCAAGAAAGTGTATTTTTAAGATATTGGGGCAATGTGCAATGTTTGTTTTTTTTAATGAAAAATCGACATTTGTACGCGTACTTTTAAGATTTTGTTGTCAAAAAAAATCATAGAGTGAAGACACTCTCATATGGAAAATTTCTATTAGACATGTACAGTGTATATTGAAGTCTTTTTTGCCCTTTTGTGTGTGTGTATGCTATGTTGTGGACGAATATTTTCAACATTTGTGATGTTGTAACCGATTGTGGAGATTTTACTAGTATGTGAAGTGTTTATTAATGCTAACTAAAATGAAATACATGTATGAGGATATCGAACATGCAGCAATCAAACTTAAAAGTCCATTGAAACAATACAAATTTGTAGCAGAGCAAACACGGACCTTTAAAAAAGCAGAGGTGGAATCAAGTGCCATGAAGGAGTAAGCATCCCCTATTGACCGGTCACACCTGCCGTGTGATCGGACCATGATCGGACCAACGGAAAAATTCCTTAATAATGGCCTAACAATTTGTTTGAAAAACGTACAATATGTGTATCAAAGAAAAAATTGTTATAATGTTAATCTTATATGGCACCAGTTTTGATGCATCAGATGCGCATTTCGACGAATTATGTCTATTCAGTGATGCTCATACCGAAACATTGGAAATCCGAAATATTTAACTTAAAAAAAAACTTTGAAGAGTAAATATTAAAGATAACGAACAGTGATCGATCTCAAAAAATCTCATAAACAATACAAATATGTGGAGAGGGCATAAAACACAGACCCTTGGAGATTAATAGCATAGGTGAGATCAGGTGCCTAGGAGGACCCCTGTTGACCGGTCACACCCGCCGTGAGCCCTATGTATTGATCAGGTAGACGGAACTATCCGTAGTCAATACGTTCTATTTCCACTATGGAAGAGTTATACTTCTTAGTGCGCTCTTTTGTGAAAAAGTCGGAAAATGTACAAATCTCGCGGTATTTCTGGGACAAACGTAACATAAACATGTAAACAATATGTTGAATGTCGATGAACAGTTCCTAATAAAAAGCAAATGAAATATTTTATTGCTGTGGACTTTATATACATCAAGAGTGGGAATGACAACGATATCAATTTATATCTATAGTTGATCGTATGTATCTATTTATCGTATGGTACATCTAAATACAATACAGATGCCTCGGAAATGTATTTTTTATTAATGGATGATAAATTTATATAGGGTTCTCGCTCTCTTACACATGCCTTTTAGTTCTTCTATTCTTTCACTGGAATGACAACTACATTTAACATTTAAAATTGGATTGAGATTGGCATGTTTTGTATTATCCGCCATGCCATGCTGTCCCAGTCAGACGACCAAACGCGCCTCTAAGTTTGAAGAGTTCACTAATGGAAATAGAACGTATTCAGTAAAAAAAAGGCCTCACAAATGCAATTGGTATGAAACTAGTCAGCGAAAATACGACCCAATGATAGGTTATATTTGTTAGCAAGCTCATTATAACGACCGAGGTTGTTGAAATCCCTGTAACATCAACTTATCAGTGAGTAGCCTGCCTTGCTTTAAAAACTGATCGTACTCAAAGCAAGCTCTTGAGTAGCGAATAAGTTGGGAGACATCAACTCCATAAGCAGGTGATAGTGGAATATTGCTATATGTACATAAATAAGGAAAGTTGACGATGGAAAAGCTAAAGTCATCTCGTTTGTGATACAATTTAGTTGTTGTTAATTGGCCTTTATCGTCTATAGTCAGTAAAACATCTAAATAAGAAGCAAATGGAGCAGACTCAGTGGTGATTTATTTCAAGTTCACTAGGATATATCGAGTCTAAATATGAATGAAAATAACTATTGTTAACTGATAAAACATTGTCGATATATCTGAATGTCGAATTGAAGGCCACATCTAGTGGTTTCCTCTTCTCGTGTAGAAGATTTTAAATAAATTCTGTTTCATAGGAATATAGAAACAGGTCAGCTTATAAAGTAGCACATTAGTGGCAATCGGAATTCCAACAGTTTGTTCGAAAACTTGGTCTCCGAAGACTACATAGATGTTGTCAATGAGGAATTCCATCATCTTTTCAATATCAACTTCAGAGTACTTGTGTGTACAATCAGAGTGATTTTTAACGAAGTAATTTTGCTGATGACCAATCTCAAGATGTAAAAAAAAATACTTTTTATTTAAGAACAGTTGTCTATGATATCAAAAAGCCTAGATTTTAATCTATCGTGTGCAATTGTATAAAGAGTAGAAAAGTCGTCAGCTTTGATGTTAGAAACTTTTGAAAATTTGAGCTGAAAAAAGGGTGCCATAGACTGGAGCCAAATATGTCGAATGATCAGAGCTATGCATGAGGGAGATAATCTTTGATTTAGAAATAAATTTCTAAAATTTTACCACAGTAATTTTAAAAATATTTATAAGTATTTTCAAGCTAATACAGAAGTACTTAGCTACTGGGCAGTAGAGACCCTCGGGGACTAACAGTCCACCAGCAGAGGCCTCGACCCAGGGGTCATAATGTAAATCTAATACGGTACCAATTTTGATTTGCACATTTCATTTATCCTTTTAGTTTAGCCAAAAGTACTTGGTATATAGTAAAAATTCTTTACCAAACACTCCATCTCTCCGTGTTATACTTGTCAAGATTTACTCAACAGTGAGGCCACGTACATGAGTGTGAGAAAGTCGGGGAGACAATTTTGCGCCTCGTGAGATTTTGCTATAAAGCCTTCTACATAGGCCGAATAATTTCAAAAGAAGACACGCTGAAATTGTCTGTACCATTTGCAGTAGGAAATAATATAACAGAGATAAGGGCATTTTTCGGGACTTGCTCTGTATTTGTAAGATCATAAATTAAGGGGTTACCTGACATAGCAACACCTGATAATAGTTCACTTATCAAAGGCACAAAAAATAAAGTGGGACGATTATTTTTAAGGTTTTTGGAACACCCAAGCATTTCATTATAACACTAATTTTGTATACAGATGCATATTAAGGTATTTTTATTTCTGACATTAAAATTTGGAAGGAAACGGATAAGAACAAGAAAAAAAAGTTTTTATTGGACGTGCAGCAAGAGATACCGAAAGAAGGTGGTCCATTTTTGAAAAGGTGTTTAACATTAGTGCGTGTAAAAAGCTGAGATAACGAAGAGTAATCACCCTCATAAATCCAAAGTAGAATACAAATCGTTAACAGGGCAATAACACTGATCCCTGGAAACATATGGAGGGAT